TACCATTAAACACATTAATCAAGAATTAATTATAATTAAACTATTTCATTATTTGCGGGACCTTCCGGGTGTGCGCAATTTCTGAGCTTTTGGCTGCTTGGAAAATGGAAAGATCCATGAAAAACCCTAACCCTACTTGAAAATGGAAAGATCCACAGATGCAATAAGCTCCTCAAGGCCACAGCCATCCCGCCCTCCATGGTGCCGGTCAAGGGCTGAAACAAAACCCATCAGTAGGTACTATGAGGCAACCCTCAGACCAAGGTTGGATGTGTGAGCAAATCAGAACCTATGATTTAGAATGTTGCGGCTATGTGGCTTCACAGCGGTTTGTTTTCTATGCTGCCACGATTGTACGGTGCCGGTACCCGTGAGCCCCCTAACTCTACTAGATGACATGCTACAGCTCATGCTACCATAAGGTACTAAATTTAAGTTTTTAAAGCCTTTGTCTCTTGGAGAAACTTGATTGGGGGTTACAGTACTATTATTTGTGCTAATTGATGTGGAGTGGACAAGTAAGTGAGAGTTCTTGCCGCGCTACTGGTGCTTTGTCATTGTTGGCACATGAATATGGGTTCATACAAAAGTCAACACTGACAGTTCACGTCAAAGGACCCATAGCCCAAGTGTAGCAGGTACGCTACCGTAGTGAAGGCAACAGCCATCACAAGCACGGGTGTTGGCCCTGGCGTCCTGGCCACCGGTATTATGAGGATCGACCGAACGATTGAAGACTTCCTAGCTCGACTGGCTCATTGTCATTTTCTTGGAAGCACGGATGAGTTGTGCCGGTGTGATGCCAATCATCGGCACTTCTCCGAACCAAATCTCTCTAAGTGACTTTGGTAATTAGCAATGCCACTCCGAAGGCACAAGATACCTCACAAGATTGAGAAGCAATGCCAATTGCCAATGAGCGGTCAGACGAAGGGGAAGAAACTGTTGATACATTAGCTCAAGATCCCACAATTCACACAATCTTACTTCTTTCTTTCGACAATAAAAGTCCCTTGCAAGCATGAAGGTTTTTTCTTTGATCACTATCTTTTTGGCTGCCGTGGGCCATTCACAGGCTGCGAGCAATTTGCGTGGAGGACGACAATTGATGGAAATTCACGGCATGGTGGAAGCAACTTTTGCGCCATCTGACGTAGAGACAGACTTTCCTATCACAGACGCTCCTTCGGATGGTCGCAAGTTATCTCAAGAAGGAGAACGAGAACTGGAAGCCACTGGATCGCCTACTGAACTTGCAGTTGGTGGAGTGATAGAAGCAACGTTTGTGCCCACTTTTGATGACGAAGAAGAGACAGGTGCTCCCGCCACAGAAGCTCCCTCTGCTGAATAAAAAGTCCACACGGAAAGAATGGCTTTGACACACGCAAGGCGAATGGCATTGGTGCGTGTGTGTGTTTGCGCCGCGTCAACCGTGACAATCGCTACCGAACAAGCACAATGTGGGATGACGGTGGTGACTCGACTCGGCAGTACAGTACACGTACGGTACTGATCGTGGATTTGCGGATTCGATTCAATCGATTGCGACTGGCTGGCTGATTGCAAAGGTGATAAGGAATGCACGCAGCGATTGGAGTGAGTACTGGCAACGTACTAACTAAACACAGGTGTTTGAAGGTTGGTTGACGATGTTGGTCCGTGCTGGTGGAAACTGTAGAAGTAATGTTATAAAAGTAATGAAACTTTGCAAGCAATGGTTGATTGCATCCCGTCGGAGCAGCTTTTAGCTTAGCAATTGAATGCCACGGTAACACGCAGTTCAAGCAACGGGTACCAGCACTCAAGATAGGACAGTACAGTACAAATGGTGTTCTCTATTGTTTTATCTTCAACTTTTATCAACCTTCTTTCTGTCTTTTCTATGTTTCCTTCTGAGACCATCTATAGTTGTCAACACATGTCTTCTTGCGTCCTTGCTTGTCATCACTCATGCCCGGCTAGGGCATGATTCTGTCGCTTCTTGTAGAGTCTAACCAGACCTCCTTTCGGCCTTCTTCATTGCCTTGGCATTGGCATTGTCTTCAATCGCAGTCATTTGCTCTCTCAACTTGTCCGCCTCATCGTATTCATCTCGAATCTCGAGATACTCAATCTTGGCATGGAGCTTCTCCAACATCTTGAGGTCTCTCTTGGTCAGGTTGGGGTTGGCCTTTGCTTGCACCTCGTGGGTCCGTCCACCGTGGCCCTTTTTGTTGTTGCTCAGTTTTGCAGGTTGCTCCTCGTGGTTCCTTCCACCATGGCCTTTCTTTGCTGGGGCGTGATTTTCCTTTGCGTGGTGGTTCTTGTTCTTGTTGCTGGGCTGAGCGTCAGCATCTTTCCTGTGCAGAGCGAACGCGCAGCCAACATGGAGTTAGAAGACGCACAATGAGCAATGACCAAGCCAAGCAACAATTGAGCACTTGGGTGCCCCATTGCTTCTTGAAGAAAAACTTACTTGTGGTGTCCTCCCATTCTTTCTAGTTGTTTCTTTCTTGCCTTTGATTTCAGCTGCTGCTGTTGTGTTGAGAGTTTTTGAAAGTTGATTTTATGAACTAATCTGTTGCACAACTCGTCAAGACATCCGCAATATAGGTTACGGCAAAGACAACCTTCCGCAAGACTTCAGTGTGGTACCAGTACGGTACAGTCGTACCGAAAGCGAATTGAAACGAATCGAATCATTCTCAATCTTCATCTACGGTTCCGAGAAAGTACTTCCGCAGTTCTCGGTGTTCCCTTCAGCTGAAAAGTGAGTGGGAGTGGCAAAAAGTTAACAAATAAAGAGTGGGAGTGGCAAAAAGAGCTACGGTGCCAGGTACAGCGTACCTCGTACCTGGTATGGTACCGTCCGGTACCAGGTACGGCAAAGAGCATCATTTGTGGAAGTTGAACGGTACTACATGTACCAGTACGTGTGCTTGTGACTCGAGTGTGGCGAAATAAATGCTTAGTAACCTTGTGTCTCCTCTCCTGTTTGACATCTAACGATTATTCAAAGACTTCGTGGCCGAGCGGTTAAGGCGATCGACTAGAAATCGATTGGGTTTATCCCGCGTAGGTTCGAGTCCTGCCGAAGTCGACTTTTAGCTCTCCTGCATCGTTTTGCTCTCCACCTCCCAGCAATCAGCCTCGGGTAGTAACCGAGTCGCCACCATCAGTCTTCAGCAACAATGACATTGCTTCATTGACTTCGTGGCCGAGCGGTTAAGGCGATCGACTAGAAATCGATTGGGTTTATCCCGCGTAGGTTCGAGTCCTGCCGAAGTCGAACCTTTTATCCCTTTAGCTTTATCTAATACCTGATGTACTCCTCAAGGTCTCATCGCGTGCAGTATTCAAACAAAGGATCGTGTTTTGACAATGTTCCCTGCAAATCAGTATCTCCTTCCACCAATCCACCGATGCATATGTGGAAATTCTCAGCACGATGCACACGTACTGTCACCTGTCCCTCAAGCAAAAGGGCGCAGATGGTCAGGTTTCAATCCTTGTTGGGTTCCTCGCTCGACCGCAGCCCCACGACCGCATAAGGACCCGTCGATTCCACTAACTTGACAATGGTACCAGTTTGGCCGTTTAGAGCTTGTCATTTGTTCTCTAATAAAAAGGAATGCACGTTCGTATGGGTGTTGCCAAGGAACGGTAGGGCTACACGTATCCTGAGTAGCGGTGACTTCCTGCACTCAGTTTCATTGCCGCTCACCGCTCTCGAGCTTGCTCAGCACTCTTTTGGGCAATAAATGTTGAGGTGGTATCGTCTTAGCTAGTCCCAATCAGATCAAGTCCACCCGTCGCCTTGTCCTACAGGTACCGGTACCGGTACCAGGATCAAGTCCATCCGACTTGAGTTGCTGGACCTATCTGTGGCTGAGGATCCCCTCGTTGGCTGAACAAATCAGCTACTATTGCATCGAATGAATTGGAGCCGTGGATGCAGCGAACGCGGATGCAGACGCCACTTCGACGTGCTGTGGGTCCATTTTGGTTGATTAGCGCGTACCGGCACCGTAGCCGCTCTGACGTTTTATTGTTGAAAGCAGCAAGGCCGAGGAAACACCGATGTTGAGCCAATCAACCGCCAACCGTTTTCAAAACTGAGAAGGCGCCATTTTGAGGAAGCCAGGCTCTTCAGCCTCTTCGGCTGTCCGCTGCGAAATCATTAACGGGTGGCAAAACCCCTCGATGCTCTTCCATAATTTGATTTCAAAACCACTACTTGCAGTTGTTCTTTGCCATCCTCGTGCTGATAGGAGAGCATAGCAGACTAGTCTACTGGTAGCTAGTAGCTCCGTGCGAAGAGGAAGAAAGGAAGCGTCTCTTGCCGTTTGGCGGTTGGCCTTTGGCTGTGGAAGTCATTTTGTTCTGTAGAAACACCAAAGAGAAAAGCACAGGAAGTCCTGATTTTTGACAATCTACCTGTCTCGGTGGATTTTTCTAATATCTATTCTCTGTTGAATCCATCAATCAATTTTCCACCATGCCTTGTGGCCACTTGAACGCGATGCGGTTTGAGCAAAAGCCGCTGGCCCAACCAGCCTATTCCTTTGTCCATGTGCCCAAGGCGACACCGGATCTCGAACATTCTTCCTTGCAGCGCATTAGCAAACGAGAACATTTTCAAGCCTGCATGGCGGAAATGCTCTTGTTGGGAAAAGAAGCTGTACGACGCCGCAAGGGGTTCAAGAATGAGGATGCCGTGACCACCAATAGTAGTGCCAAGCCCTTGTCGTTGGAGTATTTGGCCGATCGATGCGACGTGGATGATCCTTGTTTTGGATTTGTGGTTCGAACCAATGCGGATCCTTCCTTGACAGTAAAGACAAACGAAGAAGAAACAGTAACAACCGACACAACTGCACCAGCCAAAGTGTCACCCATTGCTACCGACAGTGGCTCGGAGGGCCCCAGCAGCCAGGAAGCAACAGCTTCAGGCCAGCCAAATGTTCCAGAAACACCACCCACAGACTCTCTACTGAAGCAGCAGCCCACTACCCCCGAGTCACATTGGAAAGCTGGAATGCTGCAAGGATTCATTACAGTCACTACCTTTACCAATTGGCAAAAGTCATTTCGCTGGGACTCGCTCCACCCCGAAGCCTATGGCTTTGATCCCCCGGCTCTGATCAAGCAACGCTTGAATGGCATACGAAAATGGGATGCAGACGGGACATTGGCCAAGGAATTGCAGCAATCAGTTCGTTGTGGGGGTGAGTTGTCTGTCTGTCTTTATGTTGGTTCTTTGTGGCTGGCTTCTCAACTAACTCATCAAACTCTGTGGTTTCTCTTGCAGACATTTGGGACGATGGGATTGTCTGGCCTCGAATTGCGGAGATTTCGTTGCTGGGGGGATTAGGATGCGGCAGGGTAAGCAGCAGGAAAGGCAACATATCAGAGCTGGTGTCATGTCTGTCGTTTCCTTTTACTAAAAAGTCCATTCCATTCTCCTTGTACTCTTAGACTCTGGTCAAGCTGGCTTTGGAGCACTTGGAAAACCTCACACCCAACCCAGACCAGAACTATGATTACGTGGTCCTGCAGGCTACAGACAACTCTATTCCCTTTTACGAATCTCTTGGCTTTATCCGCGTCGGTGGCATTATGGAGGACCGTAGTGCTCCCAGCAACAAGGATAGCAACAATAAGGAAAACGAACAGGGACCCCTTTCCGAGATTATCACCAGCAAGACGACTACTTATGTCACCCAGAAGCGAGGAGAAATCTTGCAAGACGTTGCCAAGAAACACAAGGCGGATACCTGGGACGTCATCTTTCTGAACCAGAAACTCTTTCCGGATACCTTGACACCTGCCAGCAAGCTCTTGCTCGGCACATCACTTCAAATTCCCGTGCCCCGCAAAGAGGTTCCAAAACGAGTGTCCTCTCGAAAGGGCTCCCCCACAAAAAAGACTGATGGCGGGGACGATGTTGACGACGACGGCAGTGAAGAGAACATTAGCTGGTACAACGCAAAGGAAAACGACACGCCGTCCAAGATTGCCAAACAGTTCAATGTTGATTGCATGTCTCTCATTCGAGCCAATGCTGCAAGACTCCCTGGGCTCACGAGAACATCCCGTCTTCGAAACGGAACCCGAGTCCAAGTGTCCCATTTTCACATCATCACCAAAGTGTGGACTGCCTATTCCCACTGGTCGTTTCCTGATGACGAAGTCGAGGAAGGAGAACCGAGCTACATGATGTGCTACAAGCTCCAAAAGAAGCAAAGACGAGGCGGCGAGCAACGACCCATCCAAGCATCACTGAAAACTGTAATCGAAGAGTACACCCGGACACCTCTGTTGTTGGCCCCACCGGCGGCTCCGAAGGACAAATCCGAAGACAACAGTAGCAAGGTGGAGAAGCGCTTGGAGCCGGCGATGGATGCAGCTGCGAATGCAAATGAACCAACCCCGAGTACTGCTGGTCCTTCTACCGACGCTGCCACTGCTTTGAAAGCAAAGAATGTCCCCGCAGAGCCCTCGACTCCAGTGCTACTAGCCCGTGATATCAATCGCGACACGCTTGTTCACGTGAAGGTTCTGAGCGATGGGGCATTGGTAAAGCCATCGCCCGTGCCTCGAGGAAAACCGGGCATTATCTTGGAGCCACCGAAACGAGCTCCTGGGCCATTTGTGCTGTTCTGCCAAGACATGCGAAATCGAAAGGAAAACCTGCTCAAGGGTCTGTCCATTCCTGATGCTAGTCGAGTCCTGGCGGATAGATGGCAAAAAGCTCCGTTGAACGTTCGGAACAAGTACGAGACCTTGGCGAAAGACGGCAAGCAAGATTATTTGGCCAAGAAGGAAGCCTACAACCAGCAAATGGCCGAGCTACAACGAATGGGTCATGTTCCAACAATTCAGCCACACCACCCGGTTGAATCCCAGGATAAGAGTCACACTCACAAGCATGATGTTGCCAAGAAACGCAAGAAGGACCATGAAGCTCTCTACGAGAAGATTGTCAAGATCAAACCAGAAGCGCTTTCTTTTGCTGTTACCGAACTTCCAAAGAAAGAAGACATCCCCGACTTGGATGACGAAGACCCAACGTGTTCCCTGTCTCTACAACCTGAAACCTACAAGTACTGGTTTGTGTTGACGTTTGTACCGGACCTTCAGTGGTGTCATTTGGTGCCTCTTGTTCGCGTTGGGGAATTCTCGGAAGAGGATAAGAAAGCGAGATTGGTCGGTCGCTCCAAGTGGAAATTGGTTGATGAACGCTTGTGCCAGGAAATCGATATATGTTCACGATATGTGGTCCCAGTGAAGTCGCGGGAGACGAAGCGTTCGGCTGATGCCAATAAAGAGGCATGGGATATTTTGGACCCAGACGAGGAGGATGTTGGGAGCGAACAGGAATCCTCCGGGCGCAAATCCAGCAGTAGCGGCAAGAAGAGTCGGAAGCGAAAGAAGCCAGCGTCGCAGACTCAAGCGGGGCACTCGGAAAAGAAACAATTGTGCATTTCGTCGAAAGCAACGCCTGTTCCTACTAGCACGCTGCTCGATGTTGAGACATCGGTTGTCGATACTCCTTCTGTGCTGCCAACAGTGTCGCTGGAAAAAACGGTAGAAAAAACGGAAAGTGAGGACGTGTCATCAATCAATCATCCTGCGTTGGTACCTACTGTCTCGATGGAAAAGCCAGGTGCCATGCCAAACATGTCAGGTATAGCCTCGGCTGCGCCAGCACCAGAACGACCAACAAATGACACGAATTGGAAATGGGCGGAGTCTCAAGCACCATCAGCAGCTCAGGTTTCCCTGCCATCAAGTGACCTGGACTTTTCCACTCTCCAGAAACCGGCAGTGGGCTCCAGTTGTCGAAATGACGAATCCGAGGAAGTTTCGGGACACTATCCTCATCGTGTCCACCATCAGCCTCCTGCGTACTATCACTACCCACCCTACCATCACCACTCACAATATCCCCGGCACCAAGAGTCATACCACTATGGCTACGGCCATCCGATGCAGGACTATGTCCACGACGATGGCTATTATAATCACGGGCCTCCTCCTGGCTATTGGCATGATGGCAGTGGCTACCAAGAACACTACCCCCCGCCTTATCACCAGCATGTAATGCAGGCTGAACCAATGTACCACCATCGAGAAGAAACAACTCACTTTCCCCTAGCACCAGCCTATCCTCCAATTCCTCCAGCACTTACTACACCAAGTAAGCCAAGAACGTCATCAGCGTACTTGGATTTATCAGTCGAGCGGGAGGTCGCTCTGTAGTGTCGAGGCAGCTGTCGAAGAGGGGAAGAACACGAAACCCTGATAGAAATAATGATTATTAGAACTATTCCAGTCGGAGGTAGAGTGGTTCGACTCTAGCTAGCAGGTCGTTGCAACTGACCAAACCATTCAGTCCACATCATTCCCCCAGCTAGCTACTAGCAATTGCAACATTCCGAGCAAGTAACATTTGCACAGTCAACCCAAACACTTGGATTTCCATCTTCTTCACAGACCTCATCAGGGATTTCACCACTCAGCCATGGGTTCTCACTCACATATAAAATTTCGAGGCTTGATTTGTTGAGCAATTCAATGGGAACGGTTCCTGTCAACAAGTTGTCGTCCAAGTCAAGCCTTTGAATAGCAGACATAAGGCCAAGCTCGCTTGGAATTTTCCCAGTCAACTGATTTGCCCAAAGAACCAAGTTTGTCACTGAAGTCATGAGGCCCACTAGCAGCAGAACGAAGTAGATAAAAAAGTTAGAAGGTTGGTGGAATGGGCCAGACATGGAAACATGTTGCCTTACAGGTGGTTGGGATAGATCCCCAAAGGGAGCAGTTCAGAAGGGAGAGATCTTGCAGCTGTGTCCATTGGCCAATCTGCGATGGAATGCTACTCTCCAGCTTGGTGTATGACAGCGATAACAAGCTGAGGCTGTCAGGTGGGACGAAGGTGAAAGCAGCAGTTAGGCCAGTAGTTTGCAAATTCAGAACTTTTAGCTGGCTCATGTTTTGGATTGTCGCTGGCAGACTTCCTGTCAGATTGACATTCCCTGCCAAGTTCATGGAAGTCTAAAGAGTTTGGAGTGAGCCTCTGCATCTGCATATTATAATAGCACCAAAGAGATCCACCGCAGCAATTACTTACCAAGTTCCCCAGCAAAGCTATCTCTGAAGGGATTGTGCCACTCAAGCTTGTTGAGCTCAGTTCTAGAGTCTCCAGGGAAGCCATCATGATTTCACTTGGTATTGTCCCGGTAAATGAATTTGAAGACATCCACAATTGAAGAAGGCCAGCCAGCGAAAAGAAGTCAGTAAAACCTGGCTGATTCATGACCAAAGATGTCAGCATCGTTGCAAGACCAATTTCAGTTGGCAAGGCTCCAGTGAGTGTGCACGAATATATTTCAAGATCGCGGAGGTTGTTGTTGTTGAAAAGACCTCCGGGAAGGGGTCCGTACAAATTCCAAAGGTTTGATAGAAGAAGCGTCTCCAATGGGAGCTGACCCAATTCACTGGGAAGAGGACCATTGATCCCCAGGTCGCTTAAATCCAGATTCTTGATTCTTTTGAAAGAGAAATTGACAAAATGAACATTACAGGGAAAATGTAAACACCAATGCATCGTGCTTCTACAACTTACTCTTGAAGCAAACCAATTTCACTTGGCAGAGTAGAAGATAGTAGACAGCCGTTGAGAAACAAGCTACTCAACTTTGTCAAGGAGCCAATCTCTGAGGGAATGGCACTGTTGAAAGGGCTGCTCTCCAAATCCAGCACTCGCAGGTTTGTCGCCATAAAGAGCTCTGATGGAATAGATCCTCCTAATGGGTCCTCCGTGTATAGTCCAAGATTATTCAAGTGAAGTGACTCCAGCTGGCTTAATAGTCCAAGCTCTGTAGGCAATGTACCATTGAGACCAAGGCATTCACTCAAATCCAATTCAGTCAAGTTTTGGACGAGACCAAACTCTTTTGGAATCTCTCCTTGGATTTGTGTTCTGCTTAGATCAAGGTATTGCAAGTATCTCATACTGCCAAGTTCTGTTGGTAGCCAACCATTGATGCCAGTGTTGCTCAAGTCTATTTGATGAAACAGAATTTGAGAGGACACATCAACTTTACCATTCCCAAACCACACATGTCAAGACAAGACATACCAATATTCGTGATTCCTTCAGCCAGACCGAGTTCACTAGGGACTGATCAATATCACAACATTGAGCAATATCAGAGGTAGAAGATTTAAGCATGATAATAGATATTGGGGTATCACGAGTTTTGAGTTGACACTTACTGCCCCCTTCAAAAGAGTTTTCTTGCAGCCTGAGCCTTCGAAGTCCTTTCAAACTTCCAAATTCTGTTGGCAGTGTCCCTTGTAGTTTGTTGTAGGCAAGATGCAATTCTTGTAATGCCGAGAGATTGCCAAACTCAGTTGGAATCTTGCCTCCAAGTCCATTTGTTGACAACAGAAGGGTTCGAAGCTTTGCAAGTGTCCCAAACTCTGACGTCAGAGATCCCTCTAGGAAGTTGTCTCGGAGATCCAACTGGACAACATCTGCCAGCAATGAAATCTCAGGAGGAATGACTCCCCTTAGATTGTTTCTTTCCAGGTCTATATTGGTCACTAGAAGATCATTGCTGCACATACTAAGCCCACCATTTGTGGACCACTTGCATTCATGATGGTCATAAGAGAGCCAATTCGTTGATTGTTCCCATCGAGGACCTGTTGTGGCAAAGTACAACACAGCCAAAGCAAACCTGACAAATTTACGTTCCGACTCAATCTTGTTCAATGCTGGATCTTTCATGATCCACTTCCATGCCTGGGCTTGAGGGGAATCATCGTTGCTTGTGATTGCTTCCCTTGTGAAGGCAGGGAGCAACTCCTCGACAAAGTCAACAGTAGGTGCTTGGGTAGGAGACATGGATGGTGCCGCTGTTGGAGCTATTAGAGGCTCACTGCCACCTCCCAAACCAAGCACAAGCCCGGTGATGATTCCGGCAAGAATCAAAATGGAACAGACAATGATGGAGATTCCCTTGGGACTCTTGAAGAAATCAATCACAATATCTTCGGATTCAACTGGCTCTGCATATACGGCGTTGGGATCCACTCCTAGATCATTTGTAGACCTGACGAGAGTGGCTCTTACCAAGAAATCTCGATCTCGAAGAATTTGACGATTACTCTTGTTGTCGTGGTCGTCGTCATTGTGAGGAGAAACTTGAATTTCCTCATCAAAATTCTGAGCTAAAGAATGCACTGTAGACTTGGAGATGTTTGCAAAAGAATTCATTGACACGGCTCCACTCTGGGCTGATGCATTCGAAATGCGACCACTTTTTTTAAAGTCGGCTGTATCGCTAGTCTCGTCGAGGTTGACTACGATTTGCGTTCGAGGTACCCTTGCCGTTGGTACCGGCAAGGATTCCTCGCTTGACGTGAGTCCATAGGCACGAAGCTTGGCTTCCGCTGGATTTGTGTTTTCCTGTGTAGGTGATGACGACGACATCGGCCCCTTCACTTTTTTCCTGCCCCGCAGCCCCCTGGGATGCGTGGGCGACTCGGATTGGGTCCTTCGAGGACTAGCTTCACGTCTTCTCGGCGTTTGCTGGTCTGTTTTTAGTTTCCGAAGTCCCCTTGCCGCCTTGGGAGACTGAGACCGATCGTGGTCTACTCCCCTTGCCACCTTGGGAGACTGAGACCGGTCGTCGTTTACTGATGTTGTAACTGCCGAAGCAGCGGCTGATTGGGTTTCTTTCTGTTGTCTTCGCTGTTTGGCTTGTTTCCTTGTGTGAAAAAGGTTGTGTTTGGGGTCGCTATTGCTGATATATTGGGCCTTCCCTGGTTGGGGTGCTTCATTATTATAAACCGGTTTCTGTTTGTGATCCCTTCCTCTAGCAGCATCTGTAGCCGCACCAGGAGGTGGCTTTCTTTGGGCCTCGAATTCCTCCACCACCTTGGCTTCCTCGTCTTCGTCGTTTCTGATAAACTGAGCTTGCCCTGGTTTGGGTGCGTGATTTCTTCCAATGGGCCTCTTGGCTTTCTTCTCCTCGAGAATCGCGATTGATTTGGCGGTGGCTGCTGGGACTGGCTTTGGATTGTCATAGTAATGATCCTGGATTGTGTTGTTTGGTTTTTGTGCAGCCGCTTGCGCCTTCTTCCGAAAGGGCGCATTATCGCCATATGATCTCTCCGCCATGTTCCTGTCGATGAATGACTCTGCGGTTGGTTGCTTCGCTGTTGTCTCGTTTGGATTCTCACTTTTGTCTAGCATGCCGAACAGCCCCTCGCCTTGACGAATGCCACCAGTAGATTTGCCTTCAGACTCGTCAATATCGTCCCATGACTGCATCAGCTGCAACGCCTCCTCTTCAGTCAAGTAGTTAGTGATAGATGACCTTGGGTTTGCATTACTACTCCTTTTTCTACTCATTGCAGGTTGTGTTGTCTTCCAAGGTCCTGTTTTTTATGTCGTTTGATGAATTCGAAGTACTAGCTATTGTAGTAGTAAGTGTGTTGTGCTTTTCCTGTTGCGGCTATCTATCACGCGCTGTGCAGTTTGTCGAAAATCTTTTATTCCCAGCCTCGGATCCTGCATGGTACCGGTACCGCGAGAAACAGCTGCGTGGCTTGACCAAAGCGGGTTGGTTGTGAAAACAATGTACTAGTAGTAGTAGGCTACCGGTACCGGTAGGTAGGGGGGGTGCTGGCAACTGGCAACTTGCACTAGGAGTAGCTAGCTAGAATTGATGAATTGATCTCGCTGCGAGCTCCCTTGTCGCATACCTGAGCTTGACGGTGAGATACCGGTACCGTGTTGAAGCAAAGGATTTCGAATCTTGTGCAAGGCTTCGTAGAATCCGCAGTGCCTGCTGAGGCATGATTAGATACCGGTATTATGTTTCTCTAGCTAGCTAGTAGCAGCTCTTGATCAAGCTTGCCTCTGCCAATTATAAAGTCAAGCATTTATGGCTACTCCATCGTGCGCCATGAAACTAGAGGCTGCCAAGGCACTCACAGCATGAACAGGAAATGTTCACGCAGTCAATGTATCGAGTTGGCGAACAAAACCAAGGTGGGATAGAACCTGTCAAAGGATTGCCTTCGAGAGATAGAGTAGTGAGACTTGACAGATCCAGGAAGAGCTCCTCTGGAACTGACCCTTCGAGATTGTTGTCCATCAAATAGAGCCATTGCAAGTTGTTGATCAGGGCTAACTCTGAAGGTATTGATCCCGATATTTGCGTATTCGAAACTGACAGCCAAGTTAAGGCAGTCAATAGGCCAATCGCGGTGGGAAGAGGTCCATAGAAAGGACTGTACGTGATGTCAATGTACTCCATGTTTGTCAACAAGCCAACATCACTAGGAATCGATTCAGTGACTGTATTGTTGGAGATCACAAGATACATCAAACCACTGGGAAGATTGGACAGCGTATTCTGGACGCTGCTTTTGCCAAGGTAAAGTTGTTTAAGTCGAGTCAGCATCTTCATCTGAGATGGCAGCGTTCCAGTCAAGGGACAATCATAAAGATCCAGATTAACTGTAGAAGCAAAAAACAGCACATAAGAATGGATCATCAAACACTCGTGATGGGAGCTCATGACATCATGATGTTCAGGAATCACCTACCCAATTGCCCCAGCCTTCCAATCTCGGATGGCAAAGATCCATTCAATGAGTTGGAGTGTAAGGACAAGTCCGTCAGGGACGAAAGCAATCCAATCTCTGAACACAGCCCCGTCAGCTTGTTTTCATCTAGCCAGAGCGTTGTAAGCTTTGACAACGCGGAAAATTCTCTTGTGCAACCAAGCTGTCCTGTGATGTTATTCCCCTGAATGAACAAATGTGTCAAAGAGCTCATTCGCCCAAGTGGTGGGATTGATCCTGACAACCCGTTGTAACCCAAATCTAAAACCCGCAAGTTGGAGAGTGCTCCGATTTCTTTCGGAATGCTGCCAGGGAGGCCCTCCAGAAAGCTTAGATCCAGGGATTCCAGTGATGTTGTCAGGCCAATCTCAGATGGGAGAAACCCACTGAGCTTGGCATTCAATGCAAGAGAAAGCCCTGTGAGGTGTTGCATTCCAAAGAGTTCCGATACAATGGGTCCTGACAGTCTGTTTGAAGCCAGGTACAATGTTTCGATGTCCAGAAGGCCAAGCTCCGATGGAATGGTGGCACTGAACAGGTTTGCATTCAAATTCAAAGACTTGAGCTGATGCAGTTCTCCGAACAACGAAGAAATGCTGCCTGTGAGCCGGCCAATGGCCAAATCAATAGCCCTCAATGACCTGAGTCGAAACAATTCTGATGGGATGCTCCCAAACAGCTCCGCATCGCGAATCTGCAGCGATTCCAATGACAACAAAAGCCCAAGCTCTGTGGGAAGACGAGATTTTAGTGAGCACCCACTCATGTCCAAGTCTGTTAAGTTTTGCAGCAAGCCCAGCTCAGAAACAACCACTTCCAGAGCTCCATTGTCCTCCAAGTCCAACGACACTAGGGCGCTGCAGCCGCCCAACTCGGTCGGAATCGCACCCGAAAACCCGTTCAAGCTAAGGTCTAAGCAACCCCGATACACGAATTGTATGAGAAAACTCCATCAACCAAAGCATAGATGACCTCAAACGGCATACCTATGTCTCCTAGTTGCGTCAAGAGGCCCATTTCACTGGGAATGGGGCCGTCAAGCGTAAGAGTGCTCAAGGCCAAGGTTCTGAGCTCTTTCATTTGTCCTATCCATGTACCAATGGTACCTCGAAGCTTGTTGGATGACAAGTAGAGATCCGAGAGTTTTGTAAGGAGGAACAATTCTGAGGGAAGTGTGCCTTCAAGTTGATTTGAGGAAAGGAGAAGAGTACGGAGATCCTGCGACAACATCCCCAGCTGGGGAGGAATCACTGATTTCAAAAAGTTGTTTCGTAAGTCCAAAAGTACCAGTCTGCTTAAAAGCATTAGTTCAGCTGGAATGAAACCTTTCAAAGAATTTCGTTCCAGCTCCAATGCTGTCACCACTGAATCTGTGTTGCACATTCCAAGCCCATCCGTTGTGAACCAATCACATTCGCTGTGATTGTAAGATAGCCAATTGGTGTTTTGTTTCCAGCCTTCACCATTGGTTGAATAGTAGAGTGTCGCCAGTGCAAACCTGTGAAGCTTACGATCTGGCTCCAACTCATTCAGGAAGGGATCCTGGTTGATCCAGTTCCAAGCTTTGTATTGGGGTGTTTCCTCGCTCAGTTGGATGGCTCGTGAGGAAAAATCAGGCAGAACATCCAAAGTGAACTCCATCGTCGGCGCTTGCGTGGGAGATTGAGATGGGCTGGAAGTAGTAATGTCTGGAGCACTGCCGCGGCCACTTCTTGCGGCGGCCGACATGCCCACAATCAAGGCAATCATACTGGCCAGCACCAAAGCCACTACCGCCATCCCTTTGGGTTGCCTGACAAACGCACAGGCCAAATCCGAGGATTTTGCAGGGGTCGCTTCCATAAAAACTTCGTCAGTACGACTCTCCCGTCTGGATTGAACCAATGTGGCTTCAATCAATACACCATCACGGGTGTAAGAAGCTTGTGGTGTATTGTTCATTCCATCACCCTCGCCTTCTGGTACTGACTGCAGATGAGGTGTTGCGGCAAACTCATCCGAAGGGGCTTCCTCGGTGGAAGGATCATCATCCAAGAAAGTCTCAAGACTAGTAGTGTTGTTCTGTCCACTTCTTCTGGCTGATGAAGCCATGGAGCTGGAAATAATGGACTTGTTTAGCCCCAAAGTTTCCACCACAGCTTTTTGCATCTCCAGGCGCTCTCGTTCCGACTCCATTTTCTCCAAACTAGGGACCGAGGAATACGAGGAGCCAACGGCATATGGCTTGCGACTCATGGCACTGCTGCTAGTCGTAGTGTTGCTGTGCATTGATGTTGGTGCTGTATGATTCAGCAAGGAGAATCTCAAATCGTTATTGCGCACCATTGCCTCTCCGGGGGCTTCTTTGTAGGCACCCGGCGTGGTGCCTGCATCTCCGCGGTTATTCTTTGTGGCAGCACGATGTCCAGACACTGTTGGGTTGTTGTTGTTGGAGCGTTGATCCACAATTTCTTCTCTCGAGGCAGTGCTGGCATTCATTATTTGTCGCTTGGCAATCATTTTTGCCATTTCGTCGGGATCATCCAGAGTTAATCTTCGAGGTGGACTCTGTGTTCGAGCATGATGAGTTTTTGTAGGTTGTAGTTGTTGCTGCTTTGCCATCTGGTTCTTCCCATTCGTGGCAAACACTTTTCGTACGCCTCGGTCTGGTTGCGCGAAACTACTATCCCAGGACTGCATGAGCTGTTTGCTCTCTTCTGGGGTCAAGTAGTTGGCAACAGACAACGCCCTTGGGTTTACAGTACTGATTCGAACACTTTTTTTCACGGCTGTAGAAGCAAAGGGTTTGCTGGACACATTTTCTCGTGTGGCATTATTGAATCCCTCCTCATTCCCCTGATTCCCCAATTCTTGTGTCCTTTGCCTTTTCGCAAGCATTTTTATCATTTTGTCTGGATCATCATACGTTGGTTGTCTCGTTAGAGGCTCCGTTTGCTCCACGTAATCTTCAGTTTGATTCACCTTCGTGTCCTCCATTTTCTTCTTTGGCGACATTTCAGACGAAGATGCATGCCGTTGTTTCTCGGCAGTTTGCGTTGTTTCTTCAGACGGGGCTTTTCGGGGTTGATCGGGACGTCTACGAGAGTGCGCGTTGTTCGACGAATTGTCCAAACGACCCTGACTACTGTTCCCCATCAAGCTTCGTTGACTGAGCCTTCTGCGACTCTCGTCAATCTTTTGCTTGAGAAGTAGTCGATGAGCCAAATTATGGCTCGAATCCATGTTGTTGCTGCTTTCATTCGAAGACCGTCGGCCGGAAGATCCCCCACGCCCTGTTTGTTCTGGTGGCTGCTTGTCATTCCTCCTTGCAGCAGCAGATTTTTGGCCACCTTCTCCTGCAGGACGCTTCTTCATTGTGGCCTCCTTTCTCTCGAAGAAGGACCATACTGTACATCGTACTGACAGAGACTGCCGGCTGTGAGCAGAAGTGAGTGTCGTCTCACCCAAAAACCAACCACCGAAAACCTGAGGTTAAGCCGAAGGTGAGGGTTATCTTATGTGAACCAAATCTCTGACGTCACTCAAGAGCAATTGAAACATGGTTTTTCACGAACATGGTTTTTCACCCCCGAGCTTCCTTGAGACTCTTAAGATTTAAGAGAGCGTGCTTCCCGAGCACGGTACTGGTGTACTGGTACCATCCAAGCACTTGTACCGGTACAGGATTCCGCTAATGGCCAAACCGGTTGTCCTGATTGGGTTGCCACACATCAACATCAGGAACAACGATGGAACATGGAATAGAATGAGAAGCTAACAGACATCAGAACGAATTAAACACCTTCCCCTGATCTTGTACATTAAGCCTTTAAACATAAGTTTGTTCCATCAAGATCACTCCATAGCTCTTAACTTCAATTTAACCATAATGATAAGCTTTAAAATGGCATAGGGAGGGTCACATTGGTAAGTCGGCAACCATGGAGCAAGACTTCAGTTACGGCCAAGGTTCACGAAGGTTGGAAGGTTCATTTTGCCGAGTTGGATCTGGGAAGAGAAGTTGGGAGCGAAGAAACCTCGCCGAGTTTCATCAAGGCAGGAAACCTCGCGGTGTGGCTTGCTGGCTTGTCGCCTGGGCATGAAACGCATGAACTCAGAATTGCCTCGGCCTCTCCCCCTCTGTTCATTATTTTATTGCCCTCGCAGCATTCATCATCATCTTTTGCTGTGCTTTATCTTTTTGACCATGGGCTTTTTCTCTGATCCCGCTGCCCTCCCTGCTGCCAACGCCGCTGGATCTCCTGCTTCCTCCGGTCGTTCGTCTCGCAAAAAGCGCACAGGTGACAGTGGCACCAGTCGCCGTCGTCGCAAGTCTTTGGAACGACCAGCGAGGGATGCTTCCACTACGATTCCCACCTTGGCCGAAGCAACGGCACTAACCAACAAGGGACGCAGTCAGAGACGCACTTCCCAAACCATGATGAGTGCTTCCATGCCATCAGGAAGCACCAGCAGTCGTCGACGCAGCAGCGGTATCGGTATGTTAACTGCGGCCATGAGTGAGGCACTCAATGCCTCCTTCATGGATAGTGGCAGTGGTTCCTTTAACGAGTCCATGAACAACAACGTATCCATGCAAGACCACTTGATGGAAATGGAAAGTTTTGTACGACATGTCAAAGAAGCGGATCCCGAAAAACGAAACAAAATCATGCTCATGGCGACACAAGAAATTGACGAGTCTGCGAATAGTAATTGGTAGCTGACGAGGACGAAGAAGAAGGAATTATTGACGAATGAATATTTGCTCTTGGAAGAGGCGTCAAGGAGGAGATGAAGTTTTGGTGAAGAATACGCTGTTTGGAACGCGTACTAGGTTTTTGAATTACATTATTATTATTAGCCACATGTTACAATAGAAACAAACTGCTACCGGTTACCGGTACCTAGAGCTAGATGTGCATAGCGTCACGAATCTGGGCTTAGCGGAACCTTACCAGTGTCACTCCTGGTGTTGAGGCCTGATGCAGTGAGACCGAACAGTGGGAGCGGGTACGTACCGGCACGAGTTTGTCCAGGGGATGGGCTTGGGGTGGGCGTGGCTCCTGCTGTTGAGTGAGGTAAGGTGTTGGTCCAGGTTTGGAGCGTGGAGTGGGGCCAGGGGTGGATCCTGGAGTGGGGCCTGGGGAGAGTCTTGATGACGGTGCTAATTGGCCCTGGAGAGGATCCAATAGTGTGGAGTCTACTGTTTGTGTGTCGTACACAGTGTGCGAGGGTCCTCCGGAGAGAGTGCTTACTCAAGTTGGACCTGGGCTTACGTTGGAGATCGCGTGGGCTCGTTCTGGAAGTCTCAAGACGCTCCCTTCTCTACCCCCACCTTTCCAGAGCAGAATCCGGAACGAATCGCCTTTGCGACGGGATACAGCTTACAATTCAGCTTTACAGCTTTATAAATTGCGGGCCTATTCTAAAAAATAATCAATAACTGCTCACTTATTTGGAAATACAAACTTTACATCTCTTAGATCGTTAGATTAATCAATCCACAATGGTATTGTCGCAGAGCCTTCTTCAGCAAGCCGTACCCAGACTTGCTGATAACAGGGCTTGTTTTTACGAGGTACAGTGCTTTGTTGGTCCTGGAGTGGGTCCAGGAGTAGCCACGTCCTGGAATTGGATCTTTTCGTAGGCATGTGAGGGAGTTCAGGGGTGGATCCTGGAGAGGGACCTAGTATTGGGTCCAGAGTGAGTTGTGTTGATGGTGCTGAGTTTGGTCTGGTTTGGTGTCTGTATTTGGGCATCAGGTGAGGGGTCTGGAAGTGGATCCTGGAGTGAGCACTGGTGTTACTGTATCACAAGGGTGCGCAAGGATTGGTCCTTCAAGAAGGACCAAGATTGGGGACATTTTTGGAGCCAGAGTTTGGGTCAGGTTTGAGCAAGGCATTTGGTCCTGCAGTTGGCCGGAGCGTCACTCGGAGTGGGCCAGTAGTAGAGCTGGAATAGGAGGCATGTGTTACTTTTAGCTCTGGAACACCAGAAAACTTGCCAGTCTCGCCATTGGTGACCGAAACGTCTGGCTTGCCTCCCAGCTACTAGATAATAAGACTTTCTGTCTTTTACTAGATTTCTACAGACAATTCCAATATTTGAGTTACTCAGAAACTGAAGAATCCTACTCAGGCGCGTAACTGGAGCTCATACACGTTGCAACATTTATTTGGTATCGGCTCAAGATAGCCAACAATTGGGACCCATCCTAGCACACCCATGCATAAGTGCTTTTTGGCCTCCACATAAAGCCAAACCACCAATTGTAGCACTTGTGTAAAGCAACAACTAGAGAAACTTAAACTCCAATATTTCGACAGTTGCCCTGGTGCATGAAACAGCAGGCGCATAACCAACACTGGTACCAACCAGATGTGTGCGCATATTGGAAGCTGCCTTGAATGTTCCTTGACCATGCACTAAGACTGTTAGCGTCCCATTGTCTATAGCGCCATCTGACAAATCGAATATCATGGTGACTTGTTGTGATTGAGCGTGCAAAACGGCAGCATGGCCAAGGAATCCATGTTTCACACCATTGTCATATGCGTGTCCAGAAGAACCAGAGAAACCCCAGCAATTCTTCTGGTCCCCACAAGACTTTGTTGGACTCAGATTGTGCGTAGATTTTGTGACACCAAGCCAAGGAGCTTGCATCCAGGTAGAGTTTTTCAGACCAATTTTGAGAATCCACTGATATTTTCCACCCAACATCAAGACGGGCCCATCCAACAAGTCACTGCGCCAACCAAATTTCATACAAAAGGAAAATAGCTTGGACTTGGAATTCTTCCACTCCAGCATTTTACCATCCAAACTTTGCTTGTGAAAAGAAATTCTGTGCTCGTGTTTGGCTTTCTTCGCCTGTTTCAACAGGGCACTTGTGAGTTGGTTATCATTCACTAAGCCAGAGGACACTATCAGATTCTCCAAATCATCAGGATCCATGAATTCAAGTTCCACATAGTCTTGAACCAAGGCCTTGGCAGCATTAATGCGGTCGTCTTTGGTCTCACCGGAAAGTGACGGCTCACTTTGGGACCATAAACGGCACAACTTGAAACTCTTTGTGCTGTCAATCTTGAAATGGGCATCTTGAAAGATGGCTCCAAGTGCAGTTGCGGATATGTGCCCAAGAACAATTCCATCTAAGCTTCCAGTCATCCAAGTAATTTTTTTCCATGCCGATTTGATCATTTCCTCTGAAATCACAGGCCCATCCAGCTTTGATGCTGCAAGAACGGCAAAAGCCATTGATGGATTGGCATTCATGTAAACAGCAAGGCATTTCTGAGCTTTTCTGCAGAGTCCTGGCAATTGAACATAGACTGATGCCTCAGTCAGAGACAACAATGTCTGGAATTCTTCCATGGCACCTGATGTAATCTCAGGTGATGGCTCGGCCAAATCTGAAACCAAGATTGTTGCGGTGTCAGTATGGATGTACTCCACAATTGATTTGAGAACAGTGCTGGAAAATCCAATGGGGACCACATCATTGGCAGATTCTTGAAATCCTCCTTTTTTGAACATCGTCTTGAAGTAGGGGCTGCGAATGGACAAGGCGGCACGATTAGCGAATGAGATGGCCGCTTTGCCTTTGAGAGACATCATGGTATTCTTCATCTGCCAACATGGCAAAAGCCTTCAAAAGGGGCACCTCCATGGCTTCAACAGGAGTGCTTGTGGTGGGGTCTTCAGTTGATGGCATGGTAAATGTGGATGCTGCTTCGTACGTACTGTGCCGCGGGAGACTATTACTTGAGTATGCAATAAAATAATGCGCTTCAAATTTTAAAAAGGGCACTTCTTTGCTCTTTCGCGCCAATGTTCCCGGCCAGGCGACCTCGACATCACGTCGGTTGGAAAGTGGATCTCGTACGATAGCACCATAGTATCTGTGTTGATCTTCAATCTGATCCGCTGTCTAATATTTTCGTGACACGTGGCACGTGGACACAGCTTCGTAAAAAAGGTTCCCTCTTGATGAACCCAGAAGATTTAACGAATTCTCTTTCTTGCTGGTCATCACTTCCTATCAAATGACTGGAGACTGGAGTGTTCGTGAGTTCAGTTCAGCCCGAGCACTTTTTGCTCTCAAAACGAAAAAAATGGTGGAGGCAATAGCGGACGACCCAGCCTTAGCCACACGTACAAAGGTGGCGCCGCTGCAGGAACATATAATAGCTGGCGTCACTCTTTCGACTGTTCTCTGTTGGGTGGCCAAATCAGCTACCTTTCCTGTACATAGAAAGCAGCCCAGGCCAAAGAGCAGCACAACAGAACAGTGGTCTGCTAATTGCTGCGAAGGCAATTCGGAGCTTTGGAGTGAACCTCAGCGATACGCAAAGTGGCTTCACATACGTTCATTATTAGTCAAGGTTATCCTCATCATTCAACAACATGACGGCTGAATCCAGTGCTAGTGGGAGTGCCAATTCGAGCAACTACAGGACGAATAGCAGCAGCAGCGCTGCAGAAGCAAGTAGCATCAATGATTCCAAGGACTACAAGATTTGTGACGTTTTGGGAGGGCTGGATGTAACACGGCTGATATCTACCAACGCCCGCAATTTCTTTGCCAGTGCCATTGACGATGTCGAGTTGCTTCGAGAGTTTTTGGTGGAGGCTACTCGGCATTCCAACCGGACGAGTGACTTTCATTCGTTGGAAGAAATGAGCCACTCGTTGGACTGGAAAGCTCGCGGTCTGCCACCGAATACTACCACCTTGGACGCCAATTTGGGGTATACGGATGACCGGATGGATCGTCGCATTGATCGGTTTGTCGGTCTAGTCAACCAACCTCTCGTGGGAACCAAACAAACAGACTTTTTCATGATGGATGGCTTGAGTCCTCTCTTTCCTTGGGTCGTTGATCGACGCTCCAAACCGGACAGTTGGTGGCTGGATCACAGTGCCGGGAAAAGTCAGGGTGATACCAAGGAGCCTTTCGCGTTTGACATCCTCTACTCTGGTGCTTGGTTGATCTCTTATGGAGACTCTCTACTATACTACCCGCCTCTGACAGTCTACAACCACCCGCTTACGTTTGGAGATCGTGTGGGCTCGTTCTGGAACTCCCATGATGCTCCCTTCTCTACCCCCAACTTTCCAGAACAGAATCCGGATCGAATCGCCTTCTTCAGCAAGCCGTACCCGGACTTGGCAGTTCCAGGACTGTCGTTGGTCTCGGCTATTGCACCCGTCTACTACAATGGCGCATTCATGGGATACGACTACAATGATACCTACGTGGCTTCACTTGGAGTTGATATCGCAACGTCATCTGTATCGTCCTTCTTGGATGTCTTGCAAGACAGTGTCGCACCTGGAAGCTTTGGAATGCTTGTGGATTCCGAGCTGTCCACCATTGTGATTTCAGAAGAAGTGGTACGACGAGTATATCCGGAACGGACCGGTTTTGAAGAATCCAGGGTCTCGTACAACAAGGATGGCAGCATTGCTGTGGATCGACGCAATCAAACGTACTTGCCCTCCGACACCATCCTCGAGGACTTGACAGCACTCACCAACGGGGATTGGAAGGCTTTGCAGACTGAAATAAGCCGATCTCCCAAGGGATCCAGAGAATACACAACCTTCAACCTGACACTCACTGGTCAAGACAGCCCCATGGAGTACTACGTTATGTACGAGCGGTGGCAGTTTGTGGCCGATTGGACCTTGTTGGTCTTTGCTCCTACGCAACAAGTGGAGCAAGCCATTGATGTGTACTTGACGACCGGGGAAGAACTCACTCGGCCCACTGCCGCCACGTTGGTAGATTTGGAAGGGGAGCGTGGTACTACCTTGAGAGGACAAGGTACCCTCGTCAACAATGGCAATCTAGATGTCGTTCTCAAGATTCCCAAAGATAGGGTGCCATCTTGGGTGCAGCTTCAGAAGGGATACTACAACGGAACTGAGGTAATCGACGACGAGTCCTTCCTACTCAAGGCTGGCGAGCACTTGGCAATAAAGTTCAGCGTGCCCACAGAGAAGCTTGATGTCGGAACCAAGTCTTCTTTCCTCTCGTTTGATGTGAAGGATGCTTTCTACCCCGACTGCTTCTTTCGCCAAGAATTGAATTTGCCCATCTCCGTGAGAGTCAATGAAATCCCTTGTGATGCGGCCAATCAAGTATACGACAATACACAAGAAGCATGCGTTTGTGACTCCAATTCGCTGGATATCTTTGGCACATGCGTCGACCACCTGATTATTGCCGTCTGCGCTTTTGTCCCTGTCATGCTGTTTGCAGCCCTTGCATTTTGGATGTATATCCGGCACAAGCGGCGGCTAGCAAACTCGCTGTGGAAGATTGACAAGTCAGAACTCAAGTTCCACGACGAGGATAACAGCAAGAGCAGCAGCTTCGACCTCGTAGCCGAAGGCAACTTTGGTGAAAGAGTTGTCCTAGCAGAGTTTAGGGGAACTCAAGTTGCAGTCCAGTACTTTCAGACATCACGTCGTGGCGGGAACCGAATGTCGCGACGACAAAGCACCGGACGTCGACCCAGTGTCACTAGCAACTTCGAAAAGGATGTTTCTGAGGCTCACACGTTGATGGAAGCAGGAATAGAACAGCATCCTCAGAATAGCCAGATTGGGAAGGCTGGTCGGCAATCATCCACGAAGGTTCCAAAAGCAGATTTTGCAAAAGAGATGCGGTTGCTCTCATCGTTGAAGCATCCCAACATAGCCACTGTGATGGGGGCACTATGCGACAATAAGAGCCCCATGAAGGCAATCGTCTTGGAGTATATGGACAATGGATCATTGTATGACTGCTTGCACAATGCCATTGAGCTGGATGGCGAAGTCATCACAGGTATTCTCATGGATATATGCAAAGGTCTCCAGTTCCTCCACGGCAACAAACCAAACGCAATCCATCATGGAAATCTGAAAGCTGAAAGCGTCTGGCTTGATTCAAACTTTAGAGCAAAACTAGGTGATTTTGGTTTGACCATACCCGGCCGCAGAATGTATGGCTACATGGCATCACCAGCTTGGATGGCTCCAGAGAGGCTGCGCAGAGAGACGGGCCCCTCACCTGCTGGTGATGTCTTCTCTCTGGGGTGCACTATGTACGAATGCTATGAGAGAAGGGAGCCTTACTATGGAGAGGACGACATGTTGCAGGTGATTCCTGAGATTTGCGATCCAGAGGTAAACAGGCGACCGCCAAGGCCAGTGGCAATGCCTCCTGCCGTTGCAATCCTTATGCAAGACTGTATGGTTGCAAATGCAGAGGAAAGGCCTTCACTAGAGGAGATCACGAGTAGGCTGAAACGGTTCCAGACAAGTGATGTTGACCCCATAGGCTTTGTAAAGAAGGTGCCACCTGGCAAGGCCAACTTTGATCTCCTCCTCAAGCTGTTCCCGCGGCATATTGCCGAGGCACTGCGCGACGGTCGCCCTATTGAGCCGGAAAACCATTCCTCGGTTTCGATCTTCTTCAGGTAGGTTCAGTTGGCCATGATGGTTGGATACTTGGGGCTATGATTCCACACATACATGAATGAATCTCTTACATGTGCTCTTGCTTGCCCTTTCTCAATCGTCACAGTGACATTGTCTCATTTACAACAATTTCTTCCTCTCTTGAGCCACACAAGGTGACAGATATGTTGCATCGGCTGTTCCATCGTATGGACAATCTTGCAGATCTCCATGGCTTGTACAAAGTCGAGACAATTGGTTAGTTGGACGCTGAATCTTCATCAAGACCTCACTTTTGCCTTCACGAGCCCCACTCACGACATTAATATTCCTGTTTGTAAATAGGAGACGCATGGTTCGGATGCACAAATTGCGTCCAGAAGCAAGACAGCGACCACACACGAAGGATTGCGCAGTTTGCCCTTGATTCTATGCAAGCTGCAAGTGACACCCTGATTGACCTTGAAGACCCCGACCGTGGTTACGTTCAGATTCGTGTTGGGCTTCACTCCGGTCCAGTGGTAGCAAACGTTATTGGGTCGAACTCGCCACACTATACATTGTTCGGGGACACCGGTACGTTTCGACTTTGACAAGGTCTTGATTGTCCAAGTCCTCTGCCTCACCTGTCTTACATCACCTCGTTCTTCCAGTCAACACGGCTTCTCGCATGGAGAGTAATTCACTCCCAGGTAGAATCCAGTTCTCGGAAGTCTTCTCCAAACTACTGCAACAGCAGGCTCCTCACATTGAGGTAACTTGCAGAGGGAAGATTCCAATCAAGGGGAAAGGTAAGCCGTTTTGCCTGGACCCATACGCACATTTGTAGTAAAAACATCTTTCTAACTCACCTCTGATGCATGCATTCCTTTGCTGCAGGCGAAATGAAAACCTACTGGATTGGACTGGGAGAAACTGAGAAGATGGCACATCGACAGCCACCCGAGGGAGCAGCGCCTGGAAAGCCTTCGGCGCCATCTCAAGACAACAACTCGGGGGACCCAGTCAAACCAACTGCAAAGGAAACGTTCTTGACCGAAATAGAGTGCTGAGCGCTTGTCGCGTGCTGGAGGTTGCAATCTAAAAATTGGTGCCCGCGGCTATTGCCTGCCAGCAGCTAGCCAGGCAAAGGCTACTCAGGTGAATTCATTTAAGCTCTTTGAAGCAATTCCATGCATTGCATAGTTCCGGTTTTGTCATTCCACACTAGCAGTTCACCGTTGTTGTCAGCCAAAAGATGCCCCGCCGGAAAAGCGAATGACGAAAGGAAGCACATTTGACCCGGAATGAAATTTGAATTCGTAAAAATATTTTCGGCTGGGAAGAAACCTCGGCGCATCACGAAACGACGAACCTGAGCAATTACCAAACATCAACATTCAAACACAAGAACCAGCACGACAAGAAGAAGGAAACGATCTTCGATCTTCGACCACTTGACTCCACAGCCCACCGTACTACACGTACCTTGACTCCTTCCAGTTTCTCCTCGAGTCATCGAAAATGGCTCGGTGTGTTCTCATTCTTGTTTGTTGCTGCTTGCTGGTTGTGTTTGCGTCATTCTCACCCTCTTCGTCCATTCGCCGTTTCCTCGCGCGCAAAGAACCAAACAAACCGGTGAGTACAGTGCTGAGAATGCGTCGACGTCGGAAGGCACCACCCATCGAAATAAATGCTGACGGTTTCTTTCGTGTTTGCTTCGCTCTCAAATGCTGCTGCCTGACACTCCACGCTCAACCACCCAAAGCGCGCAAGAGCAGCGGTGGAAAAGCTCCTCGGAAGCTCTACGCTACCAAAGCTGCTCGGAAGACTGCTCCGGCCGCTGGAGGTGTTCGAAAGAAGCGACGCTTTCGTCCTGGGACGGTGGCTCTTCGTGTATGTTCACGCTTGTTGGTGGGCGAAAGCAGCTCCACAGCGCACTTGGACTGACGCATTTATCTCTCTTGCTGTCGACCTAGGAGATTCGCCGATACCAGAGGAGCACCGACCTTTTGATTCGCAGGCAGCCCTTTCAGAGACTAGTCCGGTGAGGTCAAAACAGCACCTTGCGAAGTTCTTGACAACGTCGAAGTCCGTCCGCACTCACGCTTAACTCTTGCTTGCACCACAGGGAAATTGCTCAAGATTTAAAGTCGGATCTACGCTTTCAGGGGACTGCTCTCCTGGCATTGCAGGAGGCGTCGGAAGCATATTTGATTGTACGTTGGTGGCGGTTTTCGCTCCTCTTCCATGCAGCCACTGGCGGATGCTCACGGTGTTCTCTTGCTGTGCATGTGTTTTCGTTGCCCAGGGGGTCTTTGAGGATTCCAATCTTTGCGCCATTCACGCCAAGCGTGTGACTGTCATGACCAAAGACATTCAGCTGGCGATGCGCATCCGTGGTGGCCGCTACTAAGCAAGCCGTAACCACCCATCCTGCAAAGAGAGGAACTGGATCGAATCGAATCAGATTCTGTGAGCAAAACAACTATTTGTGCAGCAAAGAAAGTGCAATACCTACAAAAACACATGTGCGACAACAATTTGAAATAGTCAAGCGGCCAATGCGCTTCGGGCAATGATATGAAACCACCCAGTTCTCTAGCTAGCTTTCCCCTAACGCGCGACAATCGGTTTCATCAAATAATGGAAGATTCGGCTTTCGACGCAATTCTGGCCACTAGCTAGGCAAAAGATAGAGAAACTACGGCTAGCTAGTAGCGCTGTCTGTAATGATACATGTAAGATCATGGTGTTTATGTGTATTTGCATTATTGTCTATTCTTTTTATTTTTTTGTGCAGGCAAATCAATCGCTTCGCACGTAGCGGCTCACCACCGCAGGCAGAATCAATCCCCACACAAGCTAAACTGGGCACAAGTCAATCCCCACATGAAAAAAGTTGTCCGCAACCGAGCGAACAACGCTGTCAAGTCGAAGTTACACTTCTTGCTCCTCCAAGCACGCAAGAGCCTCTTGAACCAGTCCCTTCACAATGGACTGTCCGCGCTCTTCCCATTCGTTCCTGTTCTGAATGGCATAGTTCAAGTACTCATCACTGCTGACTCCAAAGACGCCACATTCCTTCAACTTCTTTGCCAGAGGGATGACATAGTTGTCAAAGAAGCCAATCTCACCCTGGTACCAGAAAGTGCTGGGGTCCTTGGCCATGCGGCCTTGGCAATAGGCTTTGTGCATCTCAAGGAACAGGAAGCGGTTCCACTTTTGATACACATGCCAGTGCTGCATTGTGTGCGAGACATCGGAAGCTTGGATGACGTGCTCAATGACAATTGTCGCACGCAAGTTGCTGTCGTTGGAGCCTCCGCGTTCATCAAATGCCTTCTCCCAACGGTTCTTGCGTAGTCCATTGAGCTCCTTGTCAAAAATGTCAGTGGCAAGCACCATGTTAACAACGATTTGGCGGAAGCGTAGGAGCTCTGCTTGGGACGTGAACAGGCAGCGCCTCAATGCATCAAAGCGGTCTTCCATGAGGATCTCCCACGAGAGATCCAGTGAGTTCTGTTCGGCAACGGACTTGTTGGAGTATCTGTCGCCAAGCTCTTTGTCTTCGGTGGACAGCTGCATGTTGGAGACGCCGCGATGGTCAACGTCATGAATCAAGGCGCTCATACTGATGGCCAACATGGCAAGTGGATCGGAAGTAATCCCGTATGTGCTGTCGTGGAGGCGGGAGGCAAGATTGTTTGGATTCTTCTTGAGCTTGGCGACCTCGGCAGGAGTGAGTTCCGGAGCTACCATGATCCTCTTCAGGAGCTTCTTCACAGACATTGTGACATGGCAAGCATGTTCTGTGGAAAGAAGGGGAAAAAAGGTTAGGTTTCAACCTAATGAATGTTTTGAAAAATGAAACTGTTCACAGAAAGATGCTTACCAAAGTTGTGGAATGGGTTGTCGCTGAGAGATGACCGGGAGAAGTGTGATAACAACAGAAGACTGTGAGCGCCTCAAAGTAACTCGCATGATCGCCACATACAACACAAGGTGCAAGCATACCGATACTTGGAGGCAATGATACCGACGAATTCACGCAACGAGTCGACAACGGAAGAGTCGATTTTCACGTTGCTGTAATCTGCCGTGAAGGACGACGCCTTCTTCGCATTAAACTTAGCCATTTCAATGGATGTCTTGACTTCGTCCATGCAAGTTGTACCTTCAGCTGGGACATGTGCGAGGGGCGTTTTGCTCTCTTTTTGTCCAAACTGACGACGAATGTGGACAATCTTCTTGACATCGTCCATAAGGAGATCCACCATCCATTCGATCAAGCGCTGGTTCTTCGGCTCCTTTCTCACAGAACGAGAGATGGAATGCCTTGTACTGATGTCACCCATATGCTCACTTCTGCTTTCACCTTCACCTGAGCCTTCGAAGCTTGAACTGTCTTTCTGCTTGGTGGGGTTCAAGATCCAGTAGGTCTGAAGCATGCCCTTGCCCTTTGCGGAGACTTTGTCCTCGCGAGGAACAAGCCAATGATCCCTGCATGACTCCTTGATTAGATCGGCCGTGTCTTGAGAGACCTGGGGGAAGAAACGAGAAGAAAAGGATGAGCTGCTGAAAAGCCCGGACGCCTCATTGTCTCTGTATTCACTGGACTATGCTTACCTGGATTTTGCCGCGCTCCCCGGTGCTCTCCATTCTCGAAGCAGTGTTGACTGTATCACCAAACAACTGAGGGTTTAAGGCAGCTGCGTTAGTGTGGTGCGCTGATAAGCATGTGTGTGTACTGTCAATCAAGTTTCCTACTCACCTGGAACCTGGCACGTTCACCTCGAAGCACTCCCGCCGTCACAGGCCCCTGCATGGTAGATTGAGAACATATAACAACGTGTTAGCCAAAAGGTCTTTTTGCTTGACAAGATCCCCATCAACAGGCTGCTTACAGAGTGAAGCCCAAATCTCATTGCCAGGTCTCCAGTGTCGGGTCCAAGGGAGCACTCAAGCTCTCTAGTCACTTCATGCATCTTTTGAAGGCAATCCCAGGCAAATTTCACCATGATAATAGCATGTTCAGGTTGGGGTTCAGGGAGTCCGCAGACAGCAAGATAGCTGTCACCTGGAATTGGAACGAAGAAGGACTGTAATGTGAGCAGTTTTCCAGACACCGGAGCGATCGTTTTCTCTCCCTGGAGCCAAACTTACCAATAGTTTCGACCTTGAATACTTTTCTCCGCTTGGCAATCTTATCAAATGCTTGATACACAGTCTGGAGAAGGGTGAACACTTGTTCTGGGCTTCGAGTGGAACTCCAAGCTGTAAAACCAGCAATGTCGGCAAAGAGCACAGTGCAACGAGGGAAAAGATCAGCAATGGGAGCCTCGTTGCTGCCATCGTCCTCTGCACCCCTCAAATGAGCCTTGAGACGGTGGCTCTGGCGGAGTCCAAAGGCACCTCCTTCCTTGTCCTTTTTGCTGTCGTTGTTCATCTGGACGAGCCTATCCCTGACATTCTCGGGGAACAATGAAGTGACAATGGCATTGGATTCGACGGCCTTTTGCATGACAAGCGCCTGACGACGCTCGACGAGGCGGTCATAGAGCAAGAACATGCAGACCGTGAAGACAAAGACGCAGGCCGTAACAAACGTCATGACAATGGGTGTGCTGGTGTTGTAGGCCTCGTAGAACTTGGTGGAGGGGTACACATCAATGCTCATCATGCACTCGTCCTTGTTCAATGGCAGTCCGGTCTTGGTTCCATCCCCAATGTTTTCCAAGGACTCAAAGGTGGCCGATTGCTTCATGTCGTCAAATATTTCTTCGTGGAGGTCACCCCTTCCAAGATAACGGACCTCTTCTCCGTTGATTTCATAGGTAAAGTCTCCAGAGCAAGTGCTGTGAAGAACAACATGGACGCCTTGCAAACTCTTGGGGAGCTGGTCTTGGAAGTAGGAAATCCAGGAGATCCATGCCACCATGACGGCAACTGTAACAGGAAGGACAAGAGGGCAACAGAACAGAATGAATCGGGTCAGACGTGGTCTCCTTCACAGCATGGTTTACTCGTATAGAGTGGAGTGGCGTTTGCCCGACACGACACTTACCAGGCTCGCGGTCGTCTTCAAAGGAGTTGAAGATGGGAAAGAAGACTTGACTCATGGGATCACCTTCGTACTGCTCCGTCTTGTTATGGGCAGTGCTGAGCATGAGAGCCATCATGGCCGAGTGACTGTTGTTTGAATCCATGCCGCCTGGTGGAGCAGTGAGCATGTCTCCAATGACAACAGAGGAAGAATAGAAGGAAGCGTTGAGGCCCTTGGATGACAAGGAATTCTGCAACAAGTTCTCGTTGAGAGTGGCTCCGCCATGGTAGACGGGGCTCGTTTGCCAAGTTGGCATGTATGGGGCACCCGCAGTATCCTTAACCGGCACGCCGTCTTCGTCGCGGACCCAGATCGGATACGCGTCCATCGAGTTCAACATGGGGCTGATATCTGTCTTGCTGGAAAAGTCCAACAGGCCCACGTTCTCTTGGTACTCCAAGCCTTGGGTGCTGTATGTATGAATCAAGATAGAAAGGCAACGCTGTTAGCAAACCCATAGTCAATGGATCCACAGGTTCCGTTCCTTATGGCGAGAAGACTTACATCCAATAGTTCTCCTCCGTCACGACAAACTCTTCCCAGCCTTTCCGATCTGCTTCGCGGACCATTGGGTTCACATGCACGTAGAGAGCACCCGACTGAGCCCTTGCCGTGGAGGTACGTTGTTGGAAGCTGCGGAGGGACAACCAGACAGACAGACAGAAGGTGAGTTCAGTGTCAAAGTTAAGCAGGGGTATCCAATGGGTATCTCTGAGGGTAGCTTAGCCTTACCTAGACAAGGTGACAAATGGCCATTGACGGTAGTGCTGCAAGATAAGAAAGATAAGAGCAAGGGAGGTGAGAAGAGTGTTTGGGTAGCAAGGCTCAGTTGGTTGGTTCGCAAAGCAAACTCAACGGCAGCTAGGTAGCGTTCAGGCGAAGGACAACAAGCAAGTGCGAAGACTCACATCGACTCCATGAGCAATCATGGCGACCCCGAGACTGGACACGGCCTGGAGCTTGGAGTTGACAATGTCAATGAAAGACTCGACCACCTTCTGAGCCGCCGCGTCGTACTGATTCCGGTATTCATCCTTCTCGGCGTTCTTGGTGACGAGAAAGACAATGATGGAGACGGCCACGGCAGCAAGCGACAAGACGACAAAGACGAGCAGACGCAGCTTGAAGACGGCCTGTGTCTCTCTCTTGGCCAGGTTCAGCTTTTCCGTGCTCGCGGACTGGGAGCCACCAATCGAGGAGTTCGCCTCGAACCCGCTCTCGTCGGCATAGTCTTCATCGTCACTGAGGCTCAGATCCTCGGCCGTCCTCGTGACGCTGATGCGATTGTCCGCTGCTTTCTTCTCCTCCATGGTTAACGTCATCGCCATGGTTTGCTTTGCTTTGCTTTGCTTTGCTTTGCTTTGCTGTCGATACTCGAGTAGACTAGTTGTTGGTTGCTGCTGTAGTTCACTTATTGTGAGACTTCGGAGCTTTCTGTTTTCAGCGAAGCAAAGATTGTGGTTACCACAGACCACGGGGGCATAATATCTTGACCTCCGAACACTTACTTTGAGCAGTTGAGGAAACCCTGAAAGCAGGATTTGATGATGTGCGAGTGTGTTGGTGGCGGGTGTGGCGTGAAGCTCGACGGCAAGGATGAGTGATGTGAGTATGTGAGTATGATAGTTTCGATGGCAATGATTCACTGCGACATTTAGTTAAGGGCGGACAAGATTAGTACCTTCCCCTACAGTGGACTCTTAATTTGACACCAGCAGGGCGAAAAACAAATCTTGCTAACAGCAGAATAACGACCTTCCATGTGGCTTGGTTCGTAAATCTAATGTTTTCTTGGTCTTTGAACTCGAACCAAAAAAATCGAGCATTGGTTTAGGAATGACCCAATGCTGAATACTCCCGTACAACGCTTACCAGCGTCTACGCTGTCATGAGCCACCATTTGGCTATTTAGAATTCCTCACTTGGTGTCTTGAAGGTCAACTTGCCCTTAACACATTCACTCACAGTCCAGATATTTTCTTCGCCGAATTCTTGTTCGGGGTCATCAAAAAAGAAGCAAAGTGTCTGGACTGCCTGTTTTCAACGTGCGAACAAGATTTTGTGATGCGCTGGTTTCCGAGTCATTATGTCTACATACCGGTACATGTGCTCGCCGAAAGTTTTTCTCCAATCCATCACCATAGAAGGTCTATAGTAAAAGAGTGGCTGGGGAGTACTCGGATTACAGAATACTCGGAGTACAAGGTACAGTAAGTTTCTACAGTGTGCTGGTACTTATAAGAACTTGTGAGAAAAGAAGCTAAAGGTCATTATTTGTGGTACCGGTACATATTCCGTACCGTTCATACTTTATCTGTGTTGAACCTGCGGAATTGCCGGAACCCGGGAGATTTCTGAGGAGTGGAATCGAATCCAAGGATCGTGGATAGAAGAAACGGCTGCTGCTAAAGGCAAAGGAGCAGCTGCAGCAAAGGAGTTACAACCAATAATAGCAATTCCCTCACCTTTCCTCCTCCTCTGTCGTCTGACTTGCCAGCGTTCAAACCTCGAAACAAGCTGCCAATGACCACAAAAATTGCTACTGCATACTAGTAGAAGTCGGAACAGCCAGCCTGGGTTAGCCTTGAGCGGTGAGCGGTCTGGTGGGCTTCGCTTAATCAAATAATGCGTAAGTCTCCAAGACAACAAGGCTACCGTTGCACGAGCAAACGATCCTGCAGAGTCCTGCGCACGGCGCACCAGCAGCCTTCTGGAAAGTGTGGCAAAAGTTGAATTGGCGATGAAAAGTGTTGAATTTTCAGCTGGATTTCATTTTTCAACAGTGTTGAATTTCAAAACTGTTGAAAAAACTGTTGAATATTATTCAACACAGTGTTGAATATATTCAACACTTTGTTCAACAGTAATTCAACAGTTTGCTAGTTATTGTAGTGCATTATTCAACACTTTATTCAACAGTAATTCAACAAGTGTTGAATTAGATTCAACAGTTTTTTCAACAGGTGTTGAATCAAAATTCAACACTTTTGACCCAATTCAACAGTTGAAGTGTTGAATTCCCCATGTCCCTCGCCAAAAATTCAGCTTTTGCGACACTTTCCAGTGCTTCTGTGTGCTCGTGCGATACCAAGACCAGGCCGTCCCTCTCACCACTGAAAAAACTGACTCTTGCTTCTCTCCAGATCCATGATCCCTCCATGGTGTACGGCTGCACTGAGTCTCCAGGCAGGTTGCTACCGTACTCCAGTACTCAGTACTCAGTAGAGTTTTAGCAGAAAGATGCAATCAACCTCAGCATAATTTCAAGCAACCACTGCCAGGTACTGGTACGGTACTAGCTAGTAGCTTCCGGTAGACAGCTACCGTACCATGTCAACGGAAAGGTGTACAGGTGACCAATACCTATTCAATTCTCCCTCAAATAAACCGGTGAGGGTGCTTCAGCAACGCAACTACAGTTACGGGATTCCTTAAAAGCGCGACGAACCCTAATTAAATATTTATTGCTCCTTCTACACCTACAGCCCTTCCCGTTCCTTTGATTCCGTATTGTAGGAATGTTAAATAAAGAAAGACATTGAAGAAAGCTTCTGGTTCAAGGAGTACTTTCGGTGTCATCACTCACGTCACTGCCCCTGAAAAATTCATCATTCAGTTTCCACACGTGGTGCGGTGGAAAAGCAAGAATGAGAACGGACAAACCCAAATTTATAAATTTATGCGACCAAGCCGAATTTTGGACCACCGAGCGGTACCGGTAGGTTGCAAGTTGCAAGGCATGTACGGTACTGCCCTGGCATCAAGAGACTGACGTGTAAAAGGTCGCCACAATACATGTCCGTTGAATCGAATCGAATACCAATTGCTAGCTACAGTAGCTAGTTGGCCAAGTAGTACATGTATTACCTTCCGTGTAGCATGCAATGTTGCAATGTCGCAAGCTGCTAGCTACACCATCTCATCGATTGTCTGGTCTCGAAGTACGGTACTGGTATCCTTGGGAATTGCCCTCGTCTTCTCACTATTGGCATAGGGTATCGGTGCGTACTTCCTCATTCTGCCACTGCATCAATCGAATATGATGAGAGCGTCCGTTTCATCATTTTCATCTCTCGCCGATTGAGGTCGTCCGTTGTGCAAACACAAATTCGTCCAAGTTCCCACTTCCTTTACACACCTGTTATGGTAATCTCGTTTCCGTTCTGCATAACACTCTTTCTTTGATTGCTTGTCCCGCCATCAGTTTTTCTTTTTTTTGTTCTGCATAGCATGAATTACTTGCTTGTCATGGATGCACCGGTGGGCTATGAATGCCCTTTCGATCGAGGGCAATTCCCGCAACTCGCGCCACGGCTATGGCATCTTGAGGGGCATGGCAGCCATACACCCCTGCTTGAGATGGCTCGTCACCGCAAACAAAAAACGTCGCAAACTAACTTTATACTTTGGCAGAAAGCCTCCTGTGTTTCCTTAGCCTCTCGTATTGCCCGTTTGATAGTACATTGGTGCTTCCGGTTGCCAAAAAACGAATCCTCCGTACAGCTGAAACACCAAGGCAAGCGCCCCAGCACTCGTCAAAGCAACAGATGGTCGCAGGAAAAAAGGGAGAGGCCGTTGACTTTGCCACAGGGCTAATGACAATTCTTTCCACGTCGACTTTCTACTACTGGTAGATGATGTAGAGTATTGCTGCCAGTCCTTGTAGGCTTCCATGGCCATGGCAGCACTGGACAAGGACAGCCACAGACAGGCGCCGCTGTGTTGCCGCAATCGGACCACGTAGTGTTGCACTGTCTCGCGGTATAGGTTGTGGACTAGATGGTTATCATTCCCGTTGTAGCGTTCGCGGTCAACACCGTCCTTCTCGTCTGTACTAGTCAACGACAGTTCCCAAAGATCGGCTGCATGCGACATCTTTGCCGAATACAGCGCAAAACAACAGGATGCACCACCGGAACACAAGGGAATCACGCCTTTGCGCAGCAGGAAGGATACAATATTTGTTGTGCTGAATGACATGACTTGGTTGCACTCTCTCAAATCGAGCTCGGTTGCGAGCTTTGCTCCCTATCACAAGCACTCTATCCGCTCTCTCAGTTGTCAGTCTCCTGCTCTAGCATGCACGCACAAAACACAAGAAGCTATAAGTTAGAAGAGCTGTTAGAAGAACTTTAACTGTTGAAAAGAATTGATCCGAAACCTGTCGCTGCCTCAATTGTTTGTGGCTGATTCAAGGACACAGGTAAACATGATAGCAACGCCAATAGCAATGTCTATGAATCTATTATGAAGTGGAATGTCTGTCTCTGCTCTGGAATACGAAGATGAGAGAATAATCATGGGGAGAGAATGGCAGTTGTGGAATGTACTTGCTCAGGAAGCATGAAGATGAGAGGCAAGAGGTGAAAGATGAACTTGGGTTGCTGCTTTCTCGCTAGCATGATGTCTAACAGTCCACACAGCGCCTTCCGTGATCATCAAATATGATAGAAAGTGATGCTGACGAGGTTTCGAATGAAGTCATACTGAGTGTCATTGCTTCTGTGTTGGACTCTTGGAAGGATTCGTGATTCTTGGTTGATGCGAGTGCAACATTGGTGGTTGGTTCCGGCCTCAAAGGTGCCTGGCTGGTGAAGGAGCCCCGCTTTTCCTTTTCTGCTCTTATTTCATCCTTCATTTGTTCCACCAAGGCTTCTCCTTTCTCTTTCCACTCATCCCGGTTCTGAATAGCATAGTCCAAGCACTCATCACTGGAAACACCAAAGACCTGGCAGTCTTTCAACTTTTTTGCCAGAGGGATGACATAATTGTCAAAGAAGCCAATTTCTCCTTGATACCAGAACTCACTGGGGTCCTTGGCCATCCTTCCTTGGCTGTAGGCCAGCGACAGCTCACGAAAAAGACGCTTGTTCCACTTGCGGTAGATGTGCCAATGTTGCATTGTGTGCGACACATCGGAAGCTTGGATGATGTGCTCAATGACAATGGTATTCCTAAGATCCCTGTTCTCCTCGTGAGATACCTTACAATCAGCAGAAAATGCTTTCTCCCAACGTTTTCTTCTAAGGTCATTGAGTTCTTTGTCGAAGATATCCGTGGCCAAGACCATGTTGACTAGTACCTGTAGGGCAGGACATATACAGTGAGGTGAGTGTTCATATCTGGACTCAGTTCACATTGGTATGTGTTGTCAGCCTTACCTGTCTAAAGCGTTTCAATTCGGCTTCAGTTGTGAACAAACAGAGTCGAAGAGCCTCATAGTCGTCGCCCATCAAGAGGTCCCATGCCAGATCCAAGGAGTTCTATCATCAGAAAGGAATAGGGTGTAAGTGACAGGTTCCTCTTTGGCGAAATCTCATGTCTCTAGACCAGAAGCTCAGCCTTCTTTGCGTTGGACATACCTGCTCCGCTACGCTTTGATTCTTGTATTTGCATCCAAGGGCTTCGTCCTCTACTGCCAACCGAGCATTGGATACTCCTCGGTGGTCACTACGGTGCAGTCAAAAGACAAGCAGCGCATTAGTGCAAGAACAGCAAATACACTCACTGGAAAAGGAGCAAATGAACTCACCAATCATGAATTAGGGCGGAAAGCACGATTGCCAACAGCGTAAGAGGATCAGAATGAATCCCATGTGTTTTTGAAAGACCCGAGCCTTGCTCTTCACTCTCGTCCGATGCCTCTGCAGATTCCACATCCTCATCCACAATTCTCTGCATGAACTTGTTGCAGGCCATGGTGACATCTGTACAAACAATGGACACACAACTGTAGGTTAGCAGCAGCAATTGCAAGCATCTGGTTCCAACTATTCAATCTTGGAGCACTTACGACATGCATGTTCTGTACATGTAGCAAGAACCGACAAGGGGACAACTGGGTAAGCTCTGAATGTGAATGAGATTGTGTAGGAAAAATGCTATCGTTTTCTCACCAAAGTTATGAAACGGGTTCTCGTGGTACATGCCTGCAATAGCACCCACGTACTGGAGAAGCTGAGCTAGTACATCACTGTCCACCTCAACTCCACGGGTATCTCGTTCGGAGGAAAATCCTGGGAGCACAATAACCTCCGCCACTTCATCTAGGCTGGTGGCTCCTTCAGGCGGTGAATACCGCAATGCCACACTGCTTGTTGCAGATTCACGAGTGGCGACAAGCTGTTTCATGTGCTCCTGGAGTAGATCGGCTATCCAATTCACCAGGCGTTCCCTTCGCTTGTCTGCGTACATGCTGGTGTTCGCCACTGGCACACGAGTAGTGGGACTCACACTGCCACCGCCCGATGATTCAGTGTGGATGCCAGTAGAAGCACTGTGGTGACCCGACAGGAGACTTTCATCCTTTGGAGCTGGGGGCTCAACAAAGTACGTTTTCAATACCCCCTTGCCTTTGGCTTTGATTGGATCTGGCCTTGGCGTAACCCAACTAGCTTTTCCAGCCTCGACAAGAAGATCACGCGTGGATTGAGAGACTTGTATCTTCCCTTTGATTCCATTGCTGACAAACAAGAATCACGAATAAGAGTGAGGCTGCTGCGTCCTGGGCTAAGATGGTTTCCACTGCAAAGCCAAGACCCCCTCACCTTTCCATACGAGCAGCCGTGTTGACTGTATCACCAAACAACTGAGGGTTCAAGGCAATGTATTAGCGCGGTGCCTTCACTGCATCATGTGGACCAAGACAAGAACAGCACACTAACCTGGAACCTAGCACGTTCGCCTCGAAGCACACCAGCTGTCACAGGCCCCTTTCAGTGGATTGAGAAAAGCGAAACAAATTAGTCTTTGTGGATGACAGCTTGCCAAGATCCTCGAATACAGGCTACTCACCGAATGTAAACCGTATCTCATGGATAGGTCAGCTGTGTCAGGCCCCAAGGTGCTTTCCAGCTGTGGAAGTATCTGGTTCAGCTTGCGTTGTGTTTCAATAGCAAATCTAAATGGAACAATTGGATGAGAAAAGAAAGCAACGCCAAGAGACCAACTGAAACTGGCTAGCGAGACCCCTCCTACCTTGCCATGATCACTGCATGCATCTCTTGCGGCTCGGGAAGACCAGTGACCTGTAATGTTCAGAAGGGAAGATCTGTTAGTGTGCCCATTATGATTGCTGGGCAGGATTCCCCAAAATTTTCCACTTACCGCAACATAGCTATCACCTGGAATGATTCATTCAAGAAATAACTGCAACGTGAGGAATGTTCCAGACAGCTTCACCATCATTGGCTCTAGGAGCTACTGAACCTACCAATTGTTTCGACCTTGAACACTTTTCTCCTGTTGGCAATCTTATCAAATGCTTGGTACACTACGGAAACATGCAACCAGATGTAAGCCAAAGACAGCAACTGGAATGAAACAAGACGGCTCAGCAAGAATCTTACAAGTTTGAAGCAGAATGAACACTTGTGCTGGGTCACGAGTGGAGCTCCAAGCAGTGAAGCCAGCAATATCGGCAAACAGCACTGTGCAGTGTGGGAACAAATCAGCGATAGGTGCTTGATCGAAATCATCCTCTTGCTGCCCTTGAAGATACCCACGAAGCCGAGTACTTCGAGCAATGTTGAAGGGGCTCTCCTTTTCCTTCTTCTCCCCTTCCACATTTGTCTGCTGCATGAGGCGGTCCCTCACATTTTCTGGGAACAGACTAGTCACAATAGCATTCGTTTTGACGGCGCGGTCCATGACAAGTTTCTGCCTCCGCTCAACGAGCCGGTCATACAGAAAGAAAATGGCCACGGTGAAAAGGAAGATGGAACCAATGGCAATGGTCATGGCCAATGGATAGCTGGTGTTGTATTGATAAAAGAATGTCTGGGACGGATACACGTCAATGCTGATTGCGCAGTGTTCCTTGCTCACGGGGATCCCGTACTTGCTTCCGTCGGCAATGTGCGTAATGGTGTCGGTGAGCGAAGCCGACCTTCGCATGTGATCAAATGCCGGATCGTGCCTATCGGATGGCCCCACTGCTGTCATCTTTGGTCCGTTGATCTCATAGGTGAAAGACTCGGAGCAAGAATTGTGAAAAATGACGTAGATTCCTTTCATGGTGGAAGGCAGGACGTTGTCAAAGTATCCACACCATTGGATCCACGCCGTCATGATAGCGACAGGTTTACGGGATGGGGCTCCTTCTGCTTGATACGTCTCATAAACGGGAAAGAAAACTTGACTAAAGGGGGCGCCGCTGTAGTGGCTGGATTCGTTGTTGGCCACGCTGAGGAGCAGCGCAAACAAGCTTGTATAGACATTTTTGGAATCGACGCCTCCCTCGGGAGCGGTTTGAAAGCCCCCAATCACCAAAGACTCGGTATGGTAGGAGACGTTGGCCCCGGGTTCGTCAAAGTTGACGACTGCGTTTTTGTTCACATCGAGTCCACCCAAGAGCAGCGGCGAAGTCTGCCAGACGGGCATGTATGGGCCGGGCCCCCTCACAGGTTCCTTTGTAAGATCACTGTTGTAGTCCCAAATTGGCATGGTTCCATTGTCCGAGATGACGGTTTCGCCCATACCGGCCAGGTTGGGACGAATCGCCTCCTCGGCGAACTTGAGCATTTCTATATTGTCCTGATACTCCGTGGCGTCCTCACTGCCATGGCGTAATGAAGAAGAGAGGGGAAGTCAACGTGAGATACCTGAAGGACACACGACGTTCACCAGCATCACTTGCTGGGCTGCTTGGGAACTTACATCCATTGGGACGATGCATTTGCCACAAAGGATTCCCATTGTGGTCTCTGCTCATCCGTGACAATGGGGTTCACATGTATCAAGAGAGCCCCAGATTGCTGTCTTGCGGCAGCGGCGCGTTGCTGAAATCGTTCTACAATCACAAAGGGCCAGTTCCCAGAGACACTGGCCAGACCCAAGCTAGAGACGGCGCCCAACTTGGAGGTTCCAATATCATAGAACGTCTGTTTCGTGCCAAAGAGATGCAAAAGAGATGCAAGAAAGATGAGTATACAGAAAGATCCACAACCATCTAGCTAGGCTAGCTAGCCACCCTAGCATGCAGCCAGCAATCACGTACTTGCATGACTCTCTCGGCGGCACCATCGTAGTAGGTCTCAAACTCTTCCCTCTCGCTCCGTGAAGACATGTGATAGACACTGACGCAAATGAGCACTGCGGCCACCAGCAAGACCCCAAAGACAACCTCTCGAAGCCGTGAGACGAACTGGGTTTCCTTCTCTGCCAGCGGAGCATTCTCATCGCATTTGGACTCGTTGCTCTTCAAGGAAGCTCCAGAGCGGGCCATCTCGGGATCATCATCGTCGTCGTCCTCACCAAATTCATCACTAATGTCCAATGACTCGGCATCGGTGGGTTGGGTTTCAAACATTATACACTACGAGAATCGTGATGGCTTGTTGTGGCCATGGCTCTGAAGTTTTTCTCGATTGCGATTTCAGTTGGATAATGGTGCGGGGCAAGTAAAGTAAAAGGCCAATGTAGTGGATCGATGACGATGCTGTCGTCTGTTTGTTGTGGTTGCCAAAGCAAAGAATTTCAACCGTAGACTCTACTCCTCGAGGTTTTGGCCACTGGACATCAGAAGATGATGTATGTGTGAAAGCTTGTGTGAAGGACTTCTTCCGCTTTTCCCCCTAAAGAAGGAGGCCTTGCTTTTTCGGGGAAATTGAATGACCAAAGAGAAAGCACGATTCAAGTTCCTTAAACAACTGCTCTCCCCAACGTCCGTACGGAAGGAAGACCAACAGTTAAAAGGTACAGACGTGCACACAGTGCTGTACTCGCACTAGTATCAAGTAGCTACGAGTGCTTTTGTTACCACTAGCTACTGTAGTAGCCTACTATTAATAGTACCGTATCACCGGTACGGTAGTCTAGCTAATCGTAGCACTACAATGCTTGTACGCATAAACCCACCTATCTACAGTCTACCGGTACCTGGTACCCGTACCACGTACTCAGTAGTTGGGGCAGATATGTTATGATCTACAGTCTACAGTACGAAAAGCAGGAAGCTCATCGCAATGGGAGCTCGGAGTGCTCAGTAATCCTTCCTCGCCCCTAGAAGAAAGCTAGCTAGAGATAGCCAGCAGATGGCTACTAGCTAGCCGGCCACCAGCCCCTTGCGGGCGTTGTGGCAAGAATCTTCCAAAAGCTGCAACAGGTGTGTTTGCTTCGTCACTCGGTGGCGAGTACTCGAGTAGCCAGGAACAATATTTAATTGTCCAGCTGGATGCTGCTCGTCTAGCTAGCCAGGTGAGCTCTGGTGCTCTCTCCTCCTCGCCCGCGGGTGAGGTCGTCTGTCAGCCGCGCTCGAAGACAGGGTACTTCGAGGCAGTAGTAGACCGCAGAAGGGCAATTCCAGCCGTAGGAGTGAGGCCTCAGGATTCCGAGGTGTGTGAATCAATCGATGATGTGCTTTTGACTGTACTAGCTAGTACCCTGGACCATAAAACGCAGAGGGCTGTTGATCCGAGTCGCTCCAGTGCAGGGCAGTTGGAAGCCGAACCAGCCAGGCAGCCTGGCCTCTCTTTAGCAAGAAGTACGAAGCTGCGGGCAATGGCTTGGACGACAACAACATCATCTGCCATGTCAAAAAGTGTCAATTGCAGATGCGGGTTACGTCGAGACTTGGCCGCACTGCCGCAGTGGTGTCGAGAGAGAAGGGCATGTATCATGTCCATACCTATCTACAAGCAACCCACGGTAGCTGCGCTGACTGAATCAATAGCCAGTTGGCGACGGAGCAGCAAGCGCCGCACTTCCCCATAGCCAGCCGTACGGTACCTACTGGGCAGTTTCGTATCTTTCAATTGGGCGCTCAGCCGGCTAGCTCTAGTTATTTCCCGGCAAGTAGAAGCTATCCAGGGATCCAAAGCTTTCTTCCACCTCTACCGAAAGCTTTATGGCAGCAATGAACCGAGGTAAGACTAAACTTTGTCAAATTCCGGGGCAGAGTATTTGTACAGCCATATACTAGCTTTGATGAGCGGATCTTTAGCTGTCCAGGCAGCAGCTTTAAAAAGCGGGCAACGAACTCGACGTGTGGCACGTTCAGCGTACTCGCTTTCTCCCTTGTCGCTACTGCCTCTTGGTGCTACCGGTAGCTAGTGGTTACAAGACGTCAGCACGGCCGTCCTCGAAATCAACTACATGTACCAGCTAGCTAACTGGCGGACTGTGTGCAGTGTGTGGGGGTGTGGGTCACATCAGCCATCGTAGGAGGCCAGATTGAGCCTTCAAGTTCAGCAGGAACAGCCTCTTTTTTTGTCGCCTGCACAAGCTCTTGTCCTACACCTGGCTGAACCAAACCTCACAAGTCCAGCAGAGAAACAAGCAACTCCTGGCTCTGAAGCTAGCCTTGATCTCACCACTGCCCGCCAAAGTCCACGCCCTACACCTGGACAACATATATCTGGACCACCACCAGAACTGCACGGGTGGAACCCAACACGGACCCACAGCATTGAGCTGCGAAAAAAGTCTTATCACTTCAACAGTGATTTGTTTAAGAAAACGAGACGCTTCATCTGTCTGTGATGGATGCTCGCAACTTGCAAAACTACTTGTAACGCATCTGGTGATGGTCCGGTACCAGAAGCCTATGGATTTACCGGGCAGCAATGACATGAAGGTTGCGCTTCGGTGAGTTTGAAGGAACAACTCGTATATATCTTTACATGCATCTGTGCAGCTGTGGGCAGCGCGCAATGCCTCCAACAGTAGGTATTTAGTATCGCGATAATTGCCACCCCTTTCAACCGAGGAGATCCGAAAGAGTCGTTCTCTATTCCAGGCAGAGCAACATTCCTTACACCGAAACGTTATCGTCTTCCTCCAAAGACGACGCACCAGGGTGAGCATCCCTTCTTTGGCGCGACGGCACGTCTAGCTCCGGCTCACCAGACGAATCGGAAAGCTTGGTGACCCTAGACACCTCGCTGCCCGTGGCAATTTGAATAAAGTACGTCTGCATTTCGCCCTTTCCCTTTGCAACAATCTTATCTGGTCTTGGAGAAACCCAGCTTTCTTTACCACAAGCAATTAGAGCATCAGCAGTTGCTTGGGAAACGTGAATTCGCCCCTTGACACCTGTGCTCTCCATCCTCGAAGCTGACCAGTAGAAAAGACATTGTGAGCACAATGCCACAACTCTTCGGCCTCATTTCCTTCTCGTTCGTTCACGCACCTGTGTTTACTGTGTCGCCAAACAACTGTGGGTGTGGGTGGCAGAAAGATGCATGAGTCTGGTGTCATAAAAAGGATGCATTGCTACCACAACTAAGTCTCACCTGAAAGCGACCCTTTTTCCCTCGAAGCACTCCCGCAGTGGTCGACCCGCTGTGTAGCCCCACACGCATTTCTAGGTCCCTGGTATCCTCTCCCATGGTGTCCGCCAACTCACGAGCGATCTGATTCGTCTCCGTCAAGCAATCTCTCGCGAACCTGGTGAACACAAAAGCAAACATCTGTGAGCAGATCCACAATATACCGACCTCCCAACATCAAAAGTCGAAGCTTACCTTGCCATGATCACAGCATGGTTCTGCTGTGGCTCTGGAATCCCCGTGACGGCTATAGACAAAGGAAGATGTGAGAAGTTCTCAAGAGACCTTGGGCAGCAATCCCTCTTGACCACCAATCAAACATACCTACGTAGCAATCACCTGTAATAATCGAGAAGGGCTGAAATGTGAGAGCGGTTTCAAAAACACGCTAGCCATCATCTGCTCTACTAGAAGATCAACCTACCGATCGTTTCTACCTTGAACACTTTTCTACGGTCCGCGATCTTGTCAAATGCGCCATCTAAGAAAGGAGAGAGAGAGAGAGACACGCTGATGAGAATGTGTCATGCAATATCGAGGGAGTGGAACGGAACCGCGAGCCTGAAGCTGGTGTAGCCCAAGCTGGATGTACATGATGCATACGCAACGAGCTGACTTACAAAGAGTTTCCAGCAGCACAAAGACTTCCGAGGGGGTCCGATTGGCTGACCATGCTGTGAATCCAGCCAGATCGGCAAAGAATATCGTCGTGTTTTCAAACAAGTCAGCAATGGGCTTGGAAGATTCTACAGCCATACCGTGTTCAGCATCATCGAACAAGCCCTTTATGGTCATCTCCTTCTTTGGCTGTTTTTCCTGCTTTTGCTCTGCGTACAGCTGTTGTTTCACCTTTTCAGGAAAGAGAGAGCTGACAATGGCTCCAGATGCAAGGGCTCTTTCCATGACAATCCGCTGCCTACGAGCCACCAGGAGATCGTAAGTGATAAAGACAGCCGATGTGAAAACAAAGATAGCCACACAAGCCAGCGTAAACAGTAATGGCTGATTTGTCACGTAGTCGTCTTCCATGGTCTGAGATGGGTAGACATAAATGTTTCCTGGGCAGAACGTCTCTGATAGTGGCAGCCCCGAGTAGCTGCTTTTGCTTTTGGTGGCATATCCCTCCTCATTGTCCTGCTTCTTGGTGGCATCCATGATTTCAAAAAGAGTGAGGGACCTGCCCATGGCATCGTACTTGGAATCATGTAGGTCTCCTGCCCCCAGAAAGATCGTATTGGGTCCATTTAGCTGGTACGTAAACGTTGGCCCACATCCATCGGAATAGACGAGGATGATGCCGTTGGATCCAGAGGGTAGAATGTCCCGAATCAGCTCTCTCCAAAAGAACCCAGCATAGAAGACTCCTACTGGTTGTTGGTCTTTGGTAAGGTTTAGGTGGATCGACTCCAGTGAGTCATACCTATAATATAGCAGGAAGTGGATGAGTGTTTGTTTGTGAGAGAATGTATGTAATGCCACCTTGGACTACCGGTATGCCTTGTGGTGCCCCGAGATCGAAGGAACTCACATGGGATACCACATGCCACCAATGGGCTCACGGGAATCATCCTCTTCACTGATGTATTGTTTGGCCCAATTTCGAATAATGTCTGCAATGTAAAGGGTCAACTCATCCGCAGAATCCTCCGCAATGTTGGCCACAGGAGCAACGACGACTCGTTGGTTTTGCACGGCATCCAGCACCGCCACTGCAGTGGAGGGTGCTTGCCACACGTCATGGTTGATGACAGAAATGGCATCTTCCCGCTCCTTGACCATTGGATACTGCTGCCAGTACGGAAGGACTGTGAATGCATGGTACAGTATGATGGTCAGTTTGGATTCAACGCATCTGCGTAATATACATAGATAGCGTACTCACAATTGTTCTTGTAGTGTGTTGGCTCCGTGATATTGATTCGCCCTGGTCCATCAAACCCCCACAGATCGTAGTTGATGGTGTTGACAAAATCCTGCGACTTGGTCCAGTCTGGATCCTTGTCTTGGATCGCTTTGGCTTCGTCTACCCAATGCAAGTTGTCGTTCGCATACTCGAGCCAATCTTCTCGTTGATCCGGTTCTACAAAAACGCAGATGGAGCAGGTAAAGTCTTTGGACAGTTTCAAGAGTTTTCCTGCGTGCAGGCCATAGTCTGGCATTGTCACAAATGGCCAGGTGCTGTTGGAATGACGGGCATGCGACACAATCTGGCGGATAAAGGCATCGGTAGCACCCACAGTCTGATCCAATGTCTTGCCCATGGCTTCCAGGACCTTGTCTGCAGTCATTAACGGTGAGGAATCTTGTCAAAAGAACCAAGGGTAGCACCGCAGCATGCAACGGGATGATTGATTGGACTTACCTGCATCACTTTCAAACTTGGTCTCAAAGGCTTCTTCTTCGGATCCACTCATATAGCGATAGACAGAAATAGAAACAGCCAACGCAGATGCCACCAAGACCACCACCACCAGCAACCGTATCCCTCCTATCAGACGATTCTCGTCCTTGGCAATCTCTTCCCGCTCTTCCTTCGTCGTATCTCCATCTTCATCTTCATCGAAAAAGCCACTCACGGCAAGGCTCGCATTGGACTGAGACACGTCCTCGTTGGCAGTCGTCTTCATCGTTCAGTTCAGTTGGTTCAGTTGGTTCAGTTAGTTCAACAAGTTCAACAGTCTCTCTTCCTCAAAATATATGGGCGCGTCAAACCGAAAACGCGAAAGCGCTTGAAAAAGCGTAGCTAGAAAACCAATTTCACCTCCCCTACCCGAGAACCAGTTTGCCCTGACTGGAAGTAATTATTTTACAGCGACGGCAGCTTCCGCACTTTATGCAGTCATTGAGTCCTGCAGCCTGGCATTATTCTGTCTTGCGACAAGCAAGCGCCCGAAATCACGATTTTACAAACTCATAATGTAAAACTCGAAACTAAGTATCTACGAAGCAAAACTACGTTGATACTTTTAGTTTATACATCAATCCAAAACACAAATATAATCACTAAATTAATAAAACACAAGTACAAAACGAAATTTCATGTAAATGGCGATTTCGGCCCTTTCTGATTGAGTGCTCCCCTGGCCTGTTGACTTTTGGAAAGGAACCTACAAGAACCACTATGATACAACCTACAACAGCTCCTACATACATGTACATCGCCAATGCCAGTTTCTTTGTTTCTTTTTTCACTTCAAACTTCAAACCACTCACTTTCATGCAGTCATGGGTCCTACCGGTACAGTATAGCTAGATCTGCGAGCCTGGCATTATGCTCAGCAGCTTTCTGAGCACAGCTGAGTTCTGAGCTCTCTTCTGGGCTCGAGAAACGTAAGACTTATGATAGTGACAATGAGTGCCCTTCAGGTTCTTGATTAATTAAGAGTTCCATTGATGTGGAAGGCCTAACACGACCGGCGACTGGCATTCTCCAGTACTTTTAGTCGTGTTTGGTGCGGACCAAATTGCCCCCATTTCTTTTGCCAGTTCGCACTGTTCTCGCAGAAGCACCGAGCAACAGCCAACTAATAAGCCAAGTTCCAAGTTCCAACTTCCGGCTACAGTTAGCTACTCCAGTAGAGCTGACCCCACATGTATGTTGGGCAACCATCTCAAGCTTTGCCCTGATTTTGGACCAGCAAAGCTCATCTTTCTTTTCTTGCCATTCTCCTGGCTCCAGGCTCCAGCAACATAGCAAACAGTCACTTCTTTGGTGCTGTACTAGTATCTCCGGGCTGATTGAATCATTCCTCCAGCCATCCTTCTCGTATGATACCGGTATCGGGAACCAGGTGGGCAAATTCAAGCTACGCCTTGGTTTCCACTCTTACACTGACACACTGGGTTTACCCGTTTACCCCTCCTTGCTAGCTTACTAGTAGCTAGCTTGTGCTTTGTGTTGCATTGCGAGCCTCGTAAAATTTATTAGACTAGCTAGCTCATGTTGAAAACTCAGAAGTATACGTTTTAAATTATTATTGTGGTATCATTGATGCAAAAGATGATGCCACTGATGTCATCAGCATTCGTTCCAAACAACACAATCTTGAAGATGAGAGGTCATCAAGTGATCCAGGCTGCTTCATTGGTTTGGTTGTCGTTTTTCTCCCCAACATGGTCATTCGCACCCAGGTCCATCGTCCTGTCACCATGCCAACAACGACACTACTATCGACGCCAGATCTCCAATGAGAGGACGAGAAAGAACCAGTCGCAACGTTTGCGGCAACCTGACACTCCAACCACTCTCCATCTCTCAGCAGCCGAAGTCGAATCGGCCGCCCTCGGATTCTTTAATGGAATTCGTACCCCCTCTGCTCTCCTTGTGGGGACCTCGTTGACTGCCTTTTTCACCTTGGTGAAGGAGACCAAAAAACCGCAACCAAATCGAATGCGTGCGAGGTTGATCGCCTTGTATCACGTGCTGGCCCTTGTGTCCCTCTTGCTCAGTTTAAACGTTGTCATCACCGCCACGGCTGCCGGAGCAGTTCTGTTGCTCGATGATTTTAATGCCGAGGCAGTGACTCCCTATGTGTTTATGAAGAATCACATGTTCTACGAGTTGTTGACCACACGGTGGTCCTTCTATGTGAGCTTGCTGTCATTTCTTGGAGCTGTCACCACCAGAGCCCTGATTGAGTTTGATTTGCTCGAACGCAAACGACGCAAGCAAGCGGCAGTGTTCCTTTTCAGTATGGGTGCTCTAGTCTCCCATCTTATTTCTTTTATCAATAGCACTCTCTATTCTTCCCCGAATTTGGCGGCCATGACGGTACAAGTTTTCAAGGTACGTTTCGTTTGTTGCATACCGGTGGTCCCTTGCAAGGCAAGCAACGTGCGTTTCATTTCATTGATTGGCAAGAGGCACTAAACAACCATTGTTGTGTGTCATGTCATTGATGCTATGCAAAAGGTGGTCTTTGTCAGAGCGGTTAGAAGTCGCAATCCCTTGGATCTCCTCTCGGTGATCTTGCTCTTTCTCGCCGCGTCGGTGGGTGCTTCCATGTGGTGGAGGGATCCTGAAACTCAAGACTAGGTAGCTCCTGTACTAGCTAGCTAGCCAGAGTGGCCGAAGAAACATATGACCTCCATGACATTTTCCAAACTCCATTTCTATCAATTGACCATGCGTCATTGATACTCCTGCTATTGCTCTGAAAAATATAAGCTAAGACCTGCGTATCATTACACCATATTACATCTTCCACATTCAGGATCTAGTAGGTAGTTCATGGTTTCCTTGGATCAGCAGCATTGGATAGTCTACTAGTGAAGACAGGTTGGTGTTCCGGTTGATTTGAGCGATTCAGTCCATTGCTACAGCTATATACAGCGACGAGATTACAACCAGAACATGTCGGTCAGGACTACAGCGGCTACACTGAAGCCCCCAAGCATGGATCCTGACACGGCGTATTGGTGGAACCTGCTAGAACCTCCGCTACGTACCTCCTCTTGAGTAGTATCACCACTTGGACTCTCTTCCGAGTCTTGAGTAGCACCCACGTCCATTTCGGCAAGTATCGTTGCACAGATTGTTGTGTCGAGGGCCACGAAACTGTCTCCATAGGTCGCCAATAGGAATCTATTGTTGTTGCCTGCCTCCTCTGCCTTGTTGAGGTACACGTATCCGCACCATCCCGGTTCCAGGACGGGCGGTAGTTTGGGACCGACCCATCCCACACAATCGGGACTTTGAAAATCCCTCACGTAGGATGCAAATGCAACCGTGTCTTGTGCGGTCAATAGTTGTTGCGTGGCATTGACGCTGAGTACGCGGGCGGTAATGTCGTAGTCTGTCTGACATTGGTCTTGACCAGCGCTTACTATTTCGTCGACTGCCGCGACGGATATCAGCAAGACTTCTTGCGCTTCTGCTTTCATTTCTTCCACAGCCCACGGAGGGAGCGCTCCCAAGGCCACATGGTGGGCACTGATCATCAACAGGAGGAGAACCAGAGTGACAGATCGTTGAAACGACGACATGTTGGTTGTTGTCTTGCTTGTCTTGATGATTTTATGAATGTTTTGGAACGTTGCAGTGTTTCGTTTCTTGTTTTGATTCTTTTAAAAAACCTTGTGGGTTCGTTTCGAATTCTCACATTAGGGTTAACGCTCAGTCGCACCTTTGCAAGACTGGCTTGCTGGCAGCTCAGTCGCCTTTTTCCTGTCACGTGATCCATTTTGGCAAGTGTTCGGTGACATTTTTTTTTACCGCAAACGAAGCCTTGCTGGTGCATTCGGGCGGTGCCATCACAAACAAAAACTGTGACAGTCCAGCTTGGTACGGTGGAAAGTGACGAGCCACAACTGTGAGATATATACATAGATCTAGGGTCGGTGTTCTGTAGCTAGCTAGCTAGCAGTGGGTTGGCAGCAGAAAGAGCTGCAAACGTGCAAGGAGCAAGGAGAGAGTGGGTAGCCATCGAGACCTGGGGTATATTTACGTTGCGGTGCAGTCTTCTGGTTTGGTAGATCCTCAACAGTTAGGACTCGACTCATTATCATTATCATTGAAAGAAGATCGAAAAAGCGAATAACCATGTCAACGACAAGTTCTATTGAAGATGTGACCATGGACGAAGTTGCTCGGATAATGCGAGAGGAAGATGCGCAATTCTTGGAGTCGATTCACTTGGACCGTCACAACCACCTCCATGGGGAAGACACGGACGAGGACGACGACGATGACGGTGTCATCTTGGTGGGAGAAGATGGAGAGAAGCTCGTCATGACGGAAGAAATGGATTTATCATCTGCTAGTAGTAGCAAGAAGAAGGGGAGATTATTTCGATCGTATTCGTCGGGTTATCACAGCGATGGCACGGGAGGTGGAGTTGTCGTGGCGTCGTCACTGCCAGAAGAGAATGAACCGGACGTCATTTACCGACAATGTCTTTCTGGGGAGATCAAATCGTATCGATCGGCGTCTCCACACCATCATAATGGCGGAAAGCTACCTATAGCCGAAACAGACGAGACCACCACCACCACCACCATTGAAGTCACGGATTGCGAAGAGACGACACCCTCACGACCCACGTGTGTGGCCACCAATGCCGAACAGTTGGTCATGGCGGCCAATTCTCCATCCGTCAAACGATCCATTAGCAGCAATCGAAGGATTAATGAAGCCGTACAATTTGCTGAAGCTGTGGGGGAAATGCCACCTCTGGTAGATAGCAATGAACTTTGTATCATTGAAGAAGATAATGATGATGACGATACCGATGAAGATGAGGACGGAGATGGGACCGTCGTACATCATGATCCCAACGATATGACCATGGTCGACGACACTACCACAACACAAACACCACAATCACAACAACAGCAATTGAATAATACTGGACGACCTCCAGACTCCGATGACGGCTTTTCCGATCCAATGGCAGCCATTGCAATCGCAGCAGCGGCAGCAGCCGGAGAGGGCGGTGGTGGTAGTAGTAGAGACTCACTTCCACCAGTGGCACTGACCCGACGAAAATCCAGACCAAAATGGCCCTTTCAATTGCCCGGCTGGACGTTTAGTCGTCTCGACACTTCCATGCACAAAATTCTGGAAATCACCGCCGAGGATTACGTCTACAAGGGAATACGATCCAATCCACCCGAAATTGTCAAACGAGGTATTTCACGCGGCAATCATGTCCAACTACACCGAAAAGCATGGCTCGAAGTCAGCGACAAATATCACCGATACGGAAAAAACCTACGACTCTACTATCGCCACTGGGAATCGCTGGGATACCCGACAAACATGTTCTTTGATTGGCTCGATTCCAAAGGCGAAGCGGCGGGTCAACCATTGCCGGAGCTGGAAGAGTGCCCACGATCCAAACTAGACTCGGACTCGGTACTCTACATTGCCAATCCAGAAGTCACACAGGGGTATGCACTCAGTATCGTCACGGACGGAGTATCCGGACGAGCGCGATTTGTCGATGTCGACGGTGAAATGGTGCAAACGGGACCAGAGGGATGGATCTTTGTGCTGCGAGATGGTGTCATTTACGGTGCGGCCAAAGTCACGTCCATCAGTGGACATTCCAAAAAACGATTTCATCATTCGTCGTTTTTTGGAGGCAAAGCCGTGGCGGCCGCTGGGATTATTATTACCGATGAGGAAGGATTCTTGGTTCGGTTGTATCCACACTCGGGACATTACCGTCCTCGCGAAGCGCACATGCAACGGTTGCTGTATTTTCTGTATCATCAAGGGGTGGATCTACGGACCTTTGAAATGGATATTCAACAAATTATGCACGTGGCGCGAGACAAGGCAGATAGCAAGCAAAAGAAGCCAAAGAAACCGCTACAACAGGATGACAACAACAACGGCAAGCACATCAACGGTGAGCCTCGTACTAGCATCAAACCAGAAGGAGAAAAGAAAAAGAAGATTGACTCCTTGCAACTCATGCCAGCCGTGTCGGTTGCCTGCTACGTGGCACACAAGGCCCATTTCATTGGTGAAGGTGTCTTTGCGCAGATTCATCAACTGAAAACCGCCAATGTGGCAAGCGTCAGCGAAGCTTTGCAACTTTTGAACCGAAAACGGAGAGTTTCCGTCACTTCTTCCACCAAAGACCAAACTCTTTTCAACGGAGAGACCAAGCCCTTGTCGATTGAGAGGACAGATTCTGCTTGTGAGAGGACTGGTTCAGCGTGCTCCAGGAGCTCAAAGACTTTCACTGAAGCAACTAGCTAACTAGGCACGAAACCACGTGGCTATAATGTTCTTTTGGTACAATCCGGACTGTCTAGTATTCTTTTCTTCTGGTTAGCTAGTGCTGTGCTGTGGACTCGGAATAAGTCGTTGCTTACTGGTTGCAAAACTCTCCGGAGAGTAAATGGGCTTTGGCTGCTGAAGAGTACGAGCCTCATGCTACTCTGGGACCATTCCTGTCTGACCCATGTACCGGTAGAGAGCTTGATGTTGACAACACAGAACCCACTGGACGTGACTCAACAGGGCCACCAGCGGTTGCACCTGAATGCTCCACTCCTGGCATCAGATAATCACACCCATTCAAGCAGTTTATTCCCGCGACCTGCGGGCAACCATTCGGTGAAGAAAAAGCAAGCTGGATGCACCAACTGCTCTCCCGGAACTGTTTGGACTTGCAACTACTGGACCTGCCTGTATCAACATGATACATGAGTTCTATTCTTTTACTGATCATTCCTACTTAGTGTCCTCAATCATGAGACCCAGGGCAGTCATTGTCACGTAGCCACTGCATCACTTCGATTTGGTTATTCCTGGGGGCAGCGCAAAACGTCACGCGACTCCATGGACAACCATTTTCACGAGCCCACTTCAGGATTTCCAAATGGCCACCTTCAGCAGCAGCAAAACATGTCCGTTCATCCCATGGACAGCCAATTTCTCTTAACCATTGGAGAGCTTCCAAGTGTCCACCTGCCGCGGCATCAGCACATGTCAATTCATCCCATGGACAACCATTTTCATGCAACCATTGGAGAGCTTCCAAATGTCCAGAATAAGCAGCGAATGTACATGTCCTTGAACTCCACGGACAACCATTTTCATGAGCCCATGCTAAAATTTCCAAATGTCCACCTGCAGCTGCTCTAGCACATGTATATTCATCCCATGGACAACCGTTTTCACGAGCCCACTTCAGGATTTCCAAATGCACCTTCAGCAGCTTTAGACATGTCCGCTCATCCACGGACAACCATTTTCTCGTATCCATATCAGAAGTTCTAAATGTCCATTCCTAGCAGCATGAAAGCACGTCTCTTTATTCCATGGACAACCATTTTCATGCAACCATTGGAGAGCTTCCAAATATCCAGCTTGAGCAGCGTATGTACATGTCCTTGAACTCACGGACAACCATTTTCATGAGCCCACGCAAAATTTCCAATGTCCACCTGCAGCTGCTCTAGCACATGTATCTTCATCCCATCGACAACCGTTTTCACGAGCCCACTTTAGAATTTCTAAATGTCCACCTTCAGCAGCTTTAGAACATGTCCGTTCATCCCACGGACAACCATTTTCTCGTAACCATATCAGAAGTTCTAAATGTCCATTCCTAGCAGCATGAAAGCACGTCTCTTTATTCCATGGGAATCCTTTTTGTCGTGCCCACTGCATGACCGCAAGATTTCCAATTTTGGCAATTGCATTGCAAACATGATGATGATCAGGTGTCTTATTTCCAGAATCGTCCTTGAGCCAGTATTCTGCGCGCGGCTGGCTAGAGAATGTTTCGCTGCAAAGACTGTCGGTGATTTCTGCAGAGCGACTACCGGTATCATCCTCTGGGTTCTCCTTTACCTTTCTTGGATTTTTTGTGAGCTCTATTGTGCAGTATTCTTTGTACAGCCGGTTCATCTTCTTGCTGACAGGTCCTACAAAAGCGTACTGTCCAACGCCAACACACTGTAGAATGCCTTGGATCCAAATCGCATCGTCAACCGACAGAAGAGGAGACTCTGCAGTACCTTCATGATTAGTAGCGGTGGCATTATTCATGGTGCGGCTATGCATAAACAACAGAGACTGATGTGGTTGTGGCTACGTTGTACTAGCTAGCTAGCTAGTAGTCTTGATATCCGACTACTAGCTAGCTAGCTAGCTAGTACGGTACTCTGCTCACCCTTTTTGAGAGGTAACGTGGCACTCAAAAGATACCAGCCCAACGACCGTTGTGGTTACGAGAATGAGCGCAGAACAGAGCGGGATTTGATCATTCCGTTCATTATTTGCACGAATGAGTTACCAGTGGTACAGGTGTGACACCAACCCTTCTCATCAAGGCCATTTTTCTTCACGGCTGATGCTGGTTGCACTCGATTGTTTCACCAGTCATAGCTACGATACCCAGGGCAAACGGAGCGAGAGCAAGCATAAGGGAGGCAGCATAGGTAGCATCTCCAACTTTGCCACAAACTAGAGCAACGCAAAAAAATTGATTCTGAAAGACCCTCATCCGTTCTGTACAGTGATATCTGAGTGCAAACATGAAGACTGAGTGAGTGCTTTTGTTGACTGTAATAGTGTGCTTTATCGCGTTGTATTTCTGACATCGTTGGTGCCATTCATTCATTCTCATGGCAGCATACTAGGAATTGTAATGGGAGTTTTTGTGTTTCTGGGCACGGCCTTTTCGATTGGGTCTGTGAGTTGGTGCGAAACGGCCAAGTTTACGCTCGCCGGGCCAAAGGCACGAAAGATCAATTTTGGATTGTGGAAGTACAACTCCTATCAGTTCATCACCAATGTCAACACGGGGGAAATTTGGCAAGTGGAAACCTGCAACTCGTATCCGGACGGCACGGAAAAGGATTCCCACTGGAAGGCCGCCCAAGCCTTTAGCATTATTGCACCCATCTGGGGTGCCTTTGCCTTTTGCCCAATTCTGGCAGCCAGCAAGAGTCCCATTATGGCCAAAATATCGGGTGTACTGCTCCTGTTGGCGTGTCTCTTCCAGGGTCTGACGTTACTGTTTCTGAAAAGCAATCTATGCAATGCCCGCACCAATCCATTTTTTGGATCCTCCATTTTACAATCTACCGGGTTGGTTTCCCTTACCACAGAAGAACAATGCGAAGTTGGGCGCAGTGCCATTGTGGGTATTGTTGCCATGTGCCTATGGTTTCTGGGAGGGATCTTGGCAATTGTCACTCCTGTAGAACCCGTGCCAGACTATTAAGCTAGTCGAGAAAGCAAGATACATGAAAGCAGCAAAAGGCTCTTTGAATGTTGATCTGGACAGCTACATGTAGCCTGTCCTGTGTCTTGATTGTCAAGAAAAAGTGAAGAGTGCATTTTTTATGGACTGTGCAATGGGGCCAGCCAACAATACCGATATGTACAGCGTATTGTGGTCGTTAAAAACTTCTAGACACGAAAATTGAAGGTATCTGCCCAATCCACTGCAATCCGAATGATGAATGAATCGAATCGCTAGCCACCGGAAATAGTTATTCGAGCCAAGCTCCTTGGTGCAAGTTGGAAACCCTACCGTAACAGCAATGCCGAACGGTATCAGCCATGATTAAGCTCTCCGCACTGACCAAGACCAAACCTCGCTGTTGTGTGGGAAGTTACTATGTGTTTGGTGGTTTTGGAGAGGACTTGCTAGCTTGGTGGGAAGGCGAAGGTTGACCAAATTCGTCCGTGGGAGTTAGGCGGATGATCGTGACTGGACTCACTCGACTCATTTTGAATTCAAATTTTGGTTGGGAAAGAAACGACCCCCACAGCTCGTCCAACCAAGCAAAAGTAACAAAACATCAAGATGAGGAGCCGGTGGGACGACGACTCGACCACTGCCACGCCGTATACACTATCATCCCAAAGACTTGGTGGATCTCTTGGTTGCTGCAGTACCTTGGCTTGTTGCTACATTCTTTGCTGCTATGTCGTACCCACAATTGCTTTTGGACTCTTTGTTCATTACGGAAAGGGCTACCTGGAAAACTACCAGAACAACACTTACGGCAACAACTATGGCGACGATGACGCTGGTGGTGGTGATGATGATGATACAGCGGGTTGGAGAGTCTGGTTAGAAAATGAATACCATAACATAATTGCCGATGATGACGCCAATAATAATACAGACGATGATGATGACGACGGAAGTATGATTGGCAACTACTTTCGCCAATACAAGGACCAACTGTTTGGCGATGACGACGGCACCAGTAACGGCACATCTGATATTGCCAGCTACATTAAAGAGTCCTATTATTCCGTATACTCCAATTTTGCCGGAGAGGCCACTGACGATGGTTATGGCTATAACGACAACGATGATTACATGGACGACGCTTGGAATGAATGAGAGCCACAGCCTGAGCAGACTCGTAGATGATCCCAACCTCTCATCTTCTGCCCCATAAGTCCAATGATGGAGGAATGTGGATACGTTTTGGTTGCACCATGAATGGACCCAATGCAATTCAGAAAGGCAACAACCAGCGTTAATGGTAGCGGTAGGAATCTTGTATGGAGACATACATGAGACTGCCGGCTTGGGGGAGGATTAAAAAAACAAGGCGGAAGTTTTGGCATCTGATGGACGAGCTCAATCCTCCGGACTCCCGCCCTAACGTGCACCCACATTGCAGTGAGAGGCGAGTACCGGTAGTACATTAACTGCTTCGTTTGGGTGCTTCATAACCGTCCAGATAGCCTCCATCTTACAACATCAGAGAACAAACGCTAGCTAGCTACCGATGGCTAATCCAATCTTACACAAAGAATATAACACGTAATGTTGACTTTGATATACTTATACTACTTTGGACAGCCGTAGCAACTTGCTGGGGCCTCTACTATCAACCTACACCCTGTTTTACATAGCGTACTCGATCAGGTTAGGGGCATGCATTGTCATGGCAATCTTCCATCAAACGACATTGCTGCGTCGCATGCTCTTGGTAGTGAAGTCAGGGGCCGAAGAACGGCGGCTTCGTCGACGTGTAGTTTTGTTGCTCGAAGCTGTTGCTTTCTTGGTGGCTCGGGGCGTGGCAGATCGACCCGTGGTCTCTTGGGACACATCCAGCTTTTTGCTACTACCTTGCCTCTGCGGCTTTCGTGGTGGTCCCATGCTCGAAGCACTTCGTTGTGGCGACCCATCTTTCGGGGTGGCTTCCTTCCCTTTCGTGGTCGACTGCTCGGGCATGCTTTGACGCCGTTTGGGTTGTTTCTTGCTCTTGGATTGTGCTGGAGCCAACTGACCTGTAACCGCTTTGATCGCATCCTGCTGGTTGACACTACTTTTCCTTGTTGGCGTTGGTTCGGCCTTGCTGCTGGCACTGCTGACTTGTGGTGGTCCCATGCTTGAAGCTCTTCGTTGCTGGGACCGTTCTTTTGTCTGTTTTATGTTGGCTTCCTTCCCTTTCATGGTTGACTGCTCTGGCATGCTTTGACGCCGTTTGGTTTGTTTCTTGCCCTTGGATGGTGCTACTTCAGATAGCACTCGAGGATTTACCATGCGGTAAGGAGTGCTCAGACGTTCCGAAACGGTGTTTCCGGTCATGTTGACCACTTCTTCAGATCCTGAACCTTTGCGAATCGAGGTGGGGATCTTCAGATGTTCCTGAGCCCTTGGGGTTCGGAAGGCTGCAGGCACCGTTTCCTCGTGGCTGCCGGTAGAAGGTGGCACGACATGAAGCGTTTGCCACGAACTCATGCGCTCTCCAAGATCATCGCGTACAACCTCAAGACTGACACGGTCTTGCATTTGAAATATGGCTTCACTTCCACTCTTGAGGACGAGCTTGAACATCGGCTTCATGTGCGAGGAACTTACTTGACGACCCACGATCTTCTTCCAGGGCAGCATCGAGACCTTTTGGTCTGTGTGAAAGCTTAGGTGCTCTTCATTTAGCTTGAGGGTTCCAGAGCTGCTTTGATACACCACACAGTCGTAGACGGTTTCAATTTGGGAGGCGTTCATGGTCCTTTGCAGATTGTGGGCAAGAGGATTGGAGGCGTTTTGCTAGAATTCAGGCGGTGCAAAGAACTTTACTTGTGTCAAAATGTTTCAGCAAAAAGTGGATGATCTCTCTTCCGCTTGATTGTGCTAAATCAACCGAGACTGAGTGTTTTACACGTCCCCGCAGTCGCACACTAGCTTCTGGTACTGTAGCCGCGTAGCCACTCAGTTGAAAAGCTGTTGAGAACTTGATGCTGGGCAATTGGGGTACGGGTCCAGACATCCAGACACTCTAGAACTCTTATTGGTTTATCGATCAAAAGGTTTCAATAAGTAAGTCGAAAAAATCTATAACACGATGGGCCACGAGCTACATGTACATGCCCACTAAAAGTCTACGGTAGCAGATGACCGACTTCTGGCTGAGCTTGTCAATGATTGCTTGCTGGATTATAAACCGGAAGCTTTGATGAACGTGGGAGTCCATCAAAGAAAAGAGGTGGCGCTTCTTGGCAAGTGGCAAGGCGTCGAGCCGGATCCTCTCACATCAATGTTAAATAAATGTTCGGTACGAGTATTTCTTTGCAAAGAAGGCACACGTGTACCACACACGTGTGCCTTTCGAGCTGTGTCACCGGATCCTGGGATGAAGTCAATCGAATCCACTTTGATCCCTCGCGCTTTCGTAGGGTGGTGCTTCAGGCACACTACATGTACTACCTGGTAGTACCTGGTAAAGTGCCAGGGAAGCGCCAGGGACATTGACAAGAAAGCAATATGAAAAATCGAAAATGACCTGTGGTAGCGATTTATGACTATCCAGTTACCAGATTACTAGAAATCAACCACAACCACAACAACCAAGTAGTAACACACACAACACTATAGCAACCTCTTTATCAACACCACCACCATCAGCCTTTTTCGGCTTATCAGGCGTGGAAGCTACTACCCAACGATCGATCGTTCGACAAGCACAAGAGGAAGACCGGTAGAAGAGTCGTTCGTTCGTTCGAACGCCATTGTCGAAGCTACCTTTCGGCCGTTCGAAGATACCGCTCGAGCTACCGTTCGAAGCAACCGAAGCAACGTTCGACACTACCGCTCGAAGCTATCGTTCGAGCGCCATTGTCGCGATCGTTCGTTAACCAGAAGAAGAAGAAGGAGTTTGTTAACCGTTCGTTCATTCGAAGCAGCGCCATTGTCGCCGATGCGACCGATTCGAAGCTACCGTTCGAACAGACGGTCACGAAGCGACGGTCATATCCCATTGTCGTTCGCTTGTCGTGATCGAGAAGAGAGAAGAAGAAGAGGATCCTCATTGCCAGTTGTAATCGGCAGAGGAACAAGAGAAGAAGAGAAGACTCCAAGCGGCTCATAGCAACAGAAAAGACCTCTCAAGAAGAAGGGCTCTTCTCAAGTGGAGCGAGAGATAGAGACTTCCAAGTGGGAAGCAGAGGTTTGGACTTGGAATATTGATCCCTCCAGTCTGGATCAATTCCTGCCTCATTGTCACCAAAGAAATCGATTGAGCCAAAGGAGAGGGACGCCTGATCCAAGAGTTTTGGCCTAGACTGCCACAGACTGGGTTGCAGAGCTCATTCCGTGGAATACAGCCTTACTTGTCTGGGTGTGTACAGTTGCTGTTGGAATAGGAGCAGAGAGGAAGACCCAACAACTGTTGCTCATCAAAGTGATACGCAAGAGAATGAAGTAATTGGAGGCGAATACTGGCAGGCGAATCTTGCAGCCATAATTGAACTTATGACACAATAACTTATACTACAGTGATATTATCATCAGGAGTATTTGCGCGAATTAGCCACAGGATGGACAGATGGAATGAATCAAAGGATGGATGCCTGTCGATCTTCATCGATTACCTTATCTGATAGATGCTGATATCAAGGCTACCTGCTAGGGAGAACGTTGAGGATAACCAGTGGGTACCATTCCCAAATCGCAAGCCATTGCGGCTTGCAGCCACTGCCGAAGCTGACGCAGCAGTTCAGCCCAGAGAAGTTCCCAACCGTGGGCGACAGCTGGGATTTGTCCTTGAGAAGCGACTCAGACAACTACGGTTCTACAATTTTCACATGACACGAATCCAGCGTGAGTTCACTCCTAACCAAGCCAGTTTGGCGAAATTGAATAGAGTTTGGGCATTATACGAGTCCGAACGATAAGAGATCGATGTTGCGGAACCTCCCCAACTCTTGAAGTTCGAAGTCGAAGATGTCAGACGAGTTCTGGAGTCTATTGACAATGTTCTGAATGTCAAGCGGGGCGTTTGCGGTGCCCCTCTGGCTTATGTTTACGAGATCCAAAGTCACTTTGCCAGGAGCACTTGATACCGACACCGCAGATGAGGCTGACCCAGTTTTGGCTTTCCATCGCATCCTGAAGAATTGGGCCGAAGAACAAGACATCCGGACCTCATTTCTACAAAAAATCAGGCTGTTTGGGCCATCATTCGGTCGGTTACTCACGGTGACCTGTTTGGACATGGGTCCAACGTTTTCGCAGCGCAACAGAACGGTCGAGCAGCTTACTTGGCCATCAAGGTTCACTATCTTGGTGATTGTTCCAGGCTCGTACCAAAGCATTCGCGGATAGAGCCATTGAAACTACTTTCTTTGATGGAAAGTCCCGCAACTTCACTTTTGAGCGCTACTGTGAAAGGCTTACCAAGCCTTCACCGATTGGAAACCGCTGGGAAACACTTTACTGAGAGCGCAAGATTCGCAAGCTTCTGCCGGCATTACAGACCCAAACCTCAAGACCGCCAAGTCGTCATTCAAGCAACTCCGCATCTACGCGAGAGTTTCCAGGAGGCTATGAATTACTTAGCCGAGCAACTTGATGTCGCTGAACCCACTCGACCCACAAGAAATATTTCATCTGTGTCTGGCCGGGGTCGAGCGGTGGTGGAAGAGGACGAGACGTGGCGGTGGTAGATCCCAAGGCCGAGGCTATGGAAGAGGCGAGGCGGGGACGAGGCCTGGTAGAGGCCATGAAGGACGGGGTTTTGACCCCAATAAACCAGGAAGATATTACCATCCCGATGAGTGGGCTCAGTCACATCGGCGCAGCAGCACAGGTAGGGACGCCCGGGATGGTGACAAGCGGAAGGTTGCCGAGCTGCAGACACAGTTGTCAGATACCCAGTCCCAGGTCTCGGAATTGCAAGCCGAGAAGCGATCCCGGATTGATGTTCCTGGTGGATCTAGCGTGCAATGCCATGAATCGGCGAGCATGAGTTCTGTGTTCGCACTCTGCGATCGTTGCTACTCATTTGCCATCTCTCGGATTGAGCTTGAAAGCCATGCCGATACATGTTCCTTTGGGGAAAGTGCTTACGTGTACATGACACGGGAGAACTATATCCGTTGAAGGGTTTTCAACTGATCTTGGAACCATACACGAAATACCAATTGTAACTGTGGTGTGGCTTATGACGACCCACTCACATCTCAAATTTATATTTTATTCTTTCATCAATCTTGCTTATCAAGTCATTACGAACAATCTCATTTGTCCACTCAGCTGCGACATCACCAGTTAGTTGTCAACGATGTGCACTGTTGCACCTACCGTATGAAGACAGAACCAATGAACCCATCCATCATTTGTGGTGACTTACGAATCCACTCCAACTGTACGGTGTTATCTTATACCTTCCAGCGTTCGGGAGTAAGCCCACTGACCATGAAGTCAATTCTCCAATCACTATCGTCTCAACGTTCAAATGACATCCGAATCTCCTAGAACCCTCAAGACCCATGAGTCGGCGACCTCTGAGTCCCCTCTCAGAGCCGCTTTGGATTCGACATGCAAAGTGAACAGGTGACGGAATAGGAGAATTCACGTGACAGGTCAATTCTGGAATCAAGATCATCCTGTTGCAATTGCGTCAACATGTTTGGGCCAGCCCTTCAGCCCAGATCGTACTGCTACCAAGACGAAACACCCTACCAGGAAGGGAGCTGTGTCAGCGGAAGCACTTGACACAGCGGTGGAATATTGGTTGGAAGCAGCCAAGAAAACATGGCGAAACAACTCAGCGAGCGTTTGTGATTTCACCCACGCGAGTGAGAGGGTCGGAGGATGAAGCCATTGGCGTATCAAATCAGATATCCTCGGCTCAAGTTGAAATGTATACCGACACTGTTTACGGCAAGGTCACTTCCCTCCTGGAGAACAAGTGTGCCCAGGTCTACTGCACACCGTTTCATTGGTGCCATGTTGACCGAGAAGACCAAGTCGGAGGCTCACTTGACCTTAGATTCACTTTTCCAGAAGATTGGATACCAGAGTCTGATTCCGACAACGCGAAGGAGCTTTCCATGGGAGAGTTTCGACAAAGGCACAACGAGTTCATGCCCTATCCATCCAGTTGGGCTTACACACCCAACCAAAACTTCGCGGAGACCCAATCCGGAGCTGAGAGAACTTACAGAAGAACAATGACGATCTGACAGCTGGAATGCCTTTGGGACATTGTTTCGTCTTCTGCGGGCTGACTCGCAGTCATACCGCTACCGATCCGAGAGTTGGATGGTCAAGTTCCCGCTACTCTTCTGACAGGGACACTTGCTGACATCTCACATAATTGTGAGTTTGGATGGTATGATTGGTTTGGTACCTTTCTCCTGAAAGACAGGGCGGTCAATGAAAGGAAGCGCCTTGGTCACTACTGTGGTCCCCAGCACTGAAATTGGGGACGCTATGTGTGCCCGAATCCTCCCGAGAAGGGCCAGTTGGTCTCTAGGACATCTGTCATCCCTTATCAGACCAGGAGAAGCTGGCCCGGTGATTGAATCCAAGAAGGCAGCATTCACAGAATCCCTTAAGAAGTACCTTGGAAGCGTTATGTTTTGGCCACAGTGATGATGCTGAATCCCTCAGGATGAAGAGATACCAAGTATTATGAGCCAATTGAAGATCGTGACCCAGCTCCTCTCCAGAGTTGTCAGAAGCAATGAGATGCAACATGAGGCTTCGATAAGTACATTGCAACT